ACATAAATCTAGAGAATCTTACTATAACACTTCAGAAGAAGGGTTCATTTTTTATTCATACTAATTTGCATTGTGAAAATTATATCACTATATAATACATACCATCCTCCATACCAAAATCACCGGCAGCTTCCTTCTCGAGAGATCCTTCCGTGTAAGAATCAACAGTACCATTTCATCAGTCCGAAGAATAGAAGCCGGTGTTCCTCAAGGATCGCCGCTCTCCCCTTGTTGTACAACATTTTTACATCTGTCATCCCAAGGCTAAGTTCCTCAGTGCTAGCATTATGCGCAGATGACACGTGCATGATATATTCTGATAAACATGCTAGAAATATAACTAACACGTTGCAGGACCAGGCAGCATCCACCGAGAGTGAGAGTTGGTGACATTGCGATTGGGAGGACAGCATCACAGCATCAGGTTCACTTGGTACAAGCACATACAAGTCAAAAGAAGTTATTACCTAAAAACACTGCAATGCTTACAACCACTTTTCAAACAGAATAACCCTAGCGTGAAAAACAGAAAGCTGATCTACAGCCAGATAATCAGACCAGCACTACTCTATGGATGTGTCGCTTATGGGAAAGCTGCCAACTCTACTATCCAGAAGTTTCAAGTTGCTCCAAGTCAGACTCTCCGAAAACTCTTCAAAGTGCCTTGGTACATCCGCACAAATAACATGCTAAGAGACCTTAGTATATACCCGATCCAAAAATACATAAAGGACAGATCCCTGAAGCTATTCGTAAAAATCAACAGGCTACCATACTTAACACTATTTAATCTCTGAATAAACGGAGTAGACCGAAATATCTCTAATAAAAATAATTATTTATTATATAAATTTATTATTTTGTTTTAATAATTAAATCATATTATATTTAGAATTATGAAACAAAAAAATCTTGACTTTTTTCACATATTTTATTCACATTAATAATATATTGCTATTTCCGGTTCAATTTATTGAAATTTTATTTTGTATCTTTATTGTAATTTGTGGATAAATTCGCAATTCAAAGAAAATAGGATCAGTGAAAAGAAACATCTTAAAAAAACAACTTAAATGCTTGAAATATGAAAATAAAAATAAAAAAAATTAAAAATTTTAATTTAAAAATATATGTGTGTTATTTATTTATATGTGTAGGTATATAAAATAATCAATACATTGTCTGAGTGTTTGCTTCAAAATGGTATGAAAATCTATTATTAAATCGATAGGAGACGTAAACGTCATTGAACATTAGTTTTTTTAAGACCACAGATGATTTACTTTGTAAACACAACCCCAAATTTTAAAAACTTAATAAGGAATTAATGAGTTAATCGCAGAAGTTAAAGGGGAGGTTGTTGAATTTAATTACAGGGTGCAGCAATCGTTTTAACGAATACAATTTTGCAATTTTCATATATCAAATATAAATGTATTGCTATATGTTGTTAAATTATTTTATATCCAAGAATCTGGGGAGCGTCCTATTGGTCATAGATGTGATTAACAGTGGGATTGACACAATATTTATAATTTTAATAATAAAATTTTCAATATATGCTTTGATGACATGTTTGAAAAAGTCATATATCACATTAATTAAACAATTAAACTGATAATTAAACAATAAATGTAATATTTAGGACAGAATTAAGAAAATTATCGGATAATTAAAGGTATGTGCGGCCGTTGGTTTCCATCACACTCAGATAGTATTAGTACAGTTTGTATCATGATATAGGACTATTCATCATTTAGTCCTCTAGGTGTTAAGCCTCTTTCTCTAATCTCTCTCTCTCGATTACTGGAATGGGGTTGTATCTGCTGTACGCGACTGAAATCTTCCATATTCATTCTTAAGAGGTGGATTTAGTGGGTTCAAGACTCACACTGTGGCTTTCGATGCTTTCCACCTACTACAAAAAAAAAACAAAAAATAAAATAAGTATTCATCAAATTATTCAAAAATATTATAAAAAAATATACTATTTGTATTTTTATAAACACTTCAAATTAAACAAACAATAATTTTATTTTTAGTTTAATTTATTGAAAAGCGCGACTATATTTGGAATTTTTGGTGCTGATGCTAAAATTGGTGATGTCATGTGCACTACAACTGGCGCCGCCTATAAAGTGTGCAAGGCATGCGTACACTAATTTAAGCAAGGGAAAGCTAAATATTTCGCAAAATGTGATATAAGAAGCAGCTGCAAACTGTTCAAAAAGGTACGATAACATTTATCGTGAAGTGAAGCATATGTTAATCACAACAAGGGAATTGTGAAATATATTGCCATAAAACGACAAGGATCAAAATAAGCAAACAATATAAAAAGCATGAAGTCTTCAGGAATAAAAAATGATATTTAAGACGCAAGGAGGCATTTGTTACATCCGCCAAAAAGAATTTTAAATCTGAAGTCAATTTATGTAGTCTTTTTAAAAAAAATGCTACACATTTTTATATAGAAAAACTTAATGAAATTAATTTTGCAGCTGCCACAAATAAAATTAAACTATTAATTGTTTAAGAAACAATTTCCATCAATATCGAATACTACCTTTCAGCTAAGCCAAGTTTGTTAAGAAATTGATCACAACAGTTTATGTCAAAGTCATAATTTTATTTTTATTCATTATTTACCGACCAACATTCCAAAACTTATGAGTCATATATAAAACACTTCAAACAAAGATGGATCTCCATTTCCACCGAAACGTAAAAAGATAAGAAACACAAAAGCATCTTTCTGACAAAGGTCTTAACGCAGCGAACAGCTCATACTCGCCAAAACTGGGCCAACAAAATTTAATACTAAAAAAACTTCTTAACAGTAAACTTATAGGCCATTTTCAGTTTTAATTTATGCTGGTTGGTTTATGTATTCATATTCAAGCTGCTGCCTGTTGGTTGCTGTCTTCGTCTGTTCGACATTGACTGTTCGCGAGAGAGAGATTCCCGGTCTTAACCTTTTACACATTTTAGTGTTGATAAAATTAATTTTTTTTATGTCTTTGCTTTATTAAAAAATTTCATTATAATACTTTTATAAATTTAAGGTGTTTGACTTTATTATTGTCTCATTTATCATATGTGTTCGCACAAACATCCGCTGGAGTTTTTTTGAATTTTCATAAAAAATACATGAGTAAGTTCAAAGAAAGCGGTGTAGTACACTCGAAGAGCGAAATACATTTGAAACAAGATCCTATTATTAGTATTTCATATTTTCAAATCAATCACACACTTATTAGTATCAGCTCAAAGATAAATAAAATAAAAAAAATTTAAATTATTAAATCAATACAAATATCAACAAAGTAATATTCTCAAAAATTCCAGCAGAGAGCCCGCCACATTAATTGTAAACTATCATTGCTTCATTGTTAAACCATTTGGTCTTAGAACTGACGTTACGGAGATACTAGAATATTGCTAATATGCGATATGTAAAAAGGGGAGAGATCTAATTTTCAATATGTATGTCTTAGGCAGTATTAAATGCTATTGGATCTTGAATATCTATAAATACCTTTTAGTATATTCAACAGCTTAATGTTTAAGCGAAACTGTGGACCAGTAATGGGCTTAGCGCTTTTACCTCACAAAAAGTACACCAAAACTAATAGTAGAAGGAATGAAGGAAATTTACATGGTAATAGCCTACCCTAAATGTGATATATATATTCCGAAATTGTGTGAAGGAATCAAAACCAAATTAATATAATGCATTATAGATATTATAATATATATTTATCTGATGTGAAATATTTCAATGTGCCCTATGACCCGCTCCCTGTGTACTCCAATGATTTGTCGTAAAAATACGAAAGAACGTATAACATATACACTATTGCATTCTTTAGTGCCTTTATTTAAAATTTACAAATAGCAACAATTTATATATCTTTCATAGAGATGCTGTAAACTAATTTTCGAAATCAAATTTTTTAAGATCATAATAAATGATTAAATGGAGGATTAATGTGTACACATATGAGGCTTATTTGGTCAAAATGAAGGCTAAAAGAGTTAAGGTATTTTTCTATATGACAGTGCAATCCTAACACCTGTTATGACTGTTTTATAAGCCGAAACGTCTTAAAGATAGGTATTACATCCAATAATTACTGCTGTAAAATTTAGCGATGACGACAAAGAAAAAACTATCAAACATTTTTCTTATCCAGCGCAGAATAAAAAAAGAATGCATGTCAATGGTAGTTTACAATATACGAAAACAATATGATAATTTAAAAATATTTTTCATATATTGCCAACTTGGCCGTGACAGTTTTGATTAAAAATCTTACATATATTATCACACTTAAGCCTCTTAAGCATTAATAGCCTTCCTTCTGTTTTTTTATATGGATTTGGGGTTCATTTTTCACTTAATAAGTTTAACGTGGTAATATATATAGTAATCGATTTCTGATTCGAAGGATACAGTTTATACACTGTCTTGTAAGCTCATTGGTTTCGTAATTCCTATATCCCGGAACTTATATTAGTTGGATTATAAACCACTACAGAAACTTGTTGAGAAATCTGCAACAGTTTTTGAATCAAGAGCTTATAGATTGTCTAATAAATAAAATGAATAAATTTCCTTTAGCTATTTGCTGAAATACGAATTTGAATTTTCCGTGGATTACCGGGTTTATGCCCAAAAAGTACTCATCTACGGCGATTAAGTGTTTTATATCACCATCGTTACAGTTCTAGCATTCATATGAACGGTGAAGCAACATGATGCTAATAGTAATGATTTGGAGAGTTAATCATGTATGCAGTGTTTATAGTATACACCATTAACAAAATATTTATTTTTTAAATTAATTTAATTGGTGTAATTAAATTATATTAATGATTTATAAATCGAATAAATAATGTAATTTAGCATAACTGACGGTTCAAAGTTTTTTAAATATATTTCAAATATGTAAAATTTTAAATATATAACACACTAACATTTTGTAAATATCAGTATATTATTTAATTTTTAAATTTATTTATTTTACACAAGAGAACGATGAAAAGTTTTATACAGTTGCAAAATCACTTTTTTATTTGAAAATATATTTTATCGTTTTATTCAGCCTCTTTTTCAGCGGGTTGTTCTGTCGTCCAATTTTTCGGAGGGCCAGTCATTAATGTCCAATCGTGTGGGCTTATACTAGAATATCTTGTATGTACTTCCGGAAAAAATTCCCAGCCCTCAATTTTTGAAAGCTTCTTTACAGTTCCAGCAATACCTTAAATAAAAAATACTTAGCATAATAAATTTTTAAACTTATTGAGGCAAAAAATGTATACCTAAAAATAATCCAGACACACAACCAGCTACAACACTGCGTTTCCAAGCACCGTAGACGCACCCTGCAGCCATTCCTCCAAGGAAATAATTAAGTCTAAAACATAGAAATTATTGTACGGTAATGCACATTTAGATTTCACTCAGAAGAGATACCTATCGTCCTTTCCACGTACGTTTGTAATGACATACGTAGTCATTGTAAAAGCAGATGCCATGCCCATAAGAGGACCTGTGTTATATGCAATGCGTGCAAGTGTAGGCAAATAACCTTTTGGATGGCTCACCATAAGTACATCGAACACTGACCATGACAAACCAGCTGCTGCAGCATATTTGTTCGTGGCAACCATTTTGCCAATAGCGTCTGATCCCTCTGGATGGTCATAGTACTCCGATTTTAAAATCGACATGGTGGTCAGCTGTAGGGTATAATATACAATTTGCATGAATATGCATTTTTAAAATATTAAGTAAATTTTAAAAAATAGTAATATGCTTCATTTATAAAGCTTGACATAATCATATGCCTACAATATTATTGTTTGCTCTTACAAAGAGTATAAACAATTTGGTTTATTTAGCAAATACATTTTTGTTTATTACATCTCACTTTTGATACTTATTGAGGCTTAAATTGAATATTTAGCTTTTTTCTTATTATTCCCATAAAACTTATTTATTTATTACATACCCCGATTTATTTTACGTAATTTTCGGTAAAAACAGACAACCAAACGTCAAATGCTTTATGTCAAACAGAAATGTCAATGAGAATATTGTCAAAATAAAACTTTTAGCCGTACTGTATACGATGGGTAAAACGTAATCTGATACAATTTTTACTTATTCTAGTCTACACATTCAGATGTAGTTAAACCGTCAGTTATTATTTAAATTTAATTATGTATAAATGCAATTTGGCTTTAAACTAATAAATATTTTATATTATCTTTGATATGAAAGATAAAATGATAATTCATATCATTTAATTTCTTTTGATATAACATTAATTTGAATTACAACTAACGTTCCCACACTTAACTTATTTCACTCGCAATCTTGATAAGAATGCAACATTTAGTCGCTATTGCGTTTATTGCTAAGATTTTGTGAACCACAGTTTCGATGGTATAACTAATAAATGTTTTCTATTATCTTTGATATAAAATATTAAGTCACATCATTTAATTTCTTTTAATATAATATTAATTTAAATTACATTTAACATTCCCGCACTGAACTCATTTCACTCACAATCTTGATGAGAATGCAACATTTAGTCACTATTGTGTTCATGTAGCTTGATTTGGTATCAATCAACAACTCTACTTTACTCTATTGATGAACCCACTGGAAATATTAAATGACTTTGACGTTTTTATCCGTTAAGTAATTGATTAATTTGTTTATTGTGCAAAATGCTATTAACAAGTTGCTTCGAAGTTGCTTGGTTTATTCACACCTCGACACGTTTTGTTGTTTTAGTTATGCAATATTTTATTAAGGATAACCAATTTTTTCAGCTTACAAAGCGCAAATGAATTTCTACATAATAGTGTTCCAAAATCTTGTCTCCCATAATCTTTCGATTTATTTTTTTTTACAAAATCAAAATACTTTGGAAGATTACTTGTGATAACTATGATACTTACGTAGTCAAATTCTATAACTTAAATTTGATCTAATTAATTAATTAGTAAAATACATATTTTAGTTTTGAACACAATTTGCTTGCTTCTTTATTGAACATTTTAATTAGAACTTAATTTATAATTTTCATTCTTAAGTACCGATTTTACATTCCATTAATTTTACCATGATAAGATAAAATAATGTTTAAATATACATTTAAAATTATTTTAATATATTTTAAGAAAAAATTTAATATGAATGAATATGTTGAATTAAATATGAAAATAACGATAAATTTATAATTTTAATAGAGTAATTTTTTACAACTAACATCAAAGTTTATTATTGGCATACAAATCATAATGAGCATAATCATTTTTACATATATTATTTCTAAGTCGTTTTTCTTCAGTAGTCAAAACCTAAATTAAAATAAACCAAAACTGATTGGTTATTAAATAAGTTTGGCAACGGATCGTTCTGTAATTATTCCATATAACGGAAGTAAAAGATTTACTGTAATATGTAAATAAATAAAGAAATAAAAATATATTAAATATTATTACATATAACTATATAGTTGGACTTTAAAACATAAAATCAGTCAAAAAAGTCACTAAAAATTTTACAACTCGTTAAGTTTTTTATGAGGTTCAATTGTTTTAATTTCATCAGACAGGGTCAATCATATCTCAATTACATGTTAAGCTACAAATATTATTGTTACTTATTCTTTATATCATACAAGTGCTATTAATATCAATTTAGTTCTCATCATGACCAATTATCTCAATATCATCAGCTAAGGGACTCTCAATATCATTTTTATCATCCTTAGTTTCATTTTTTTGTAGTGCATCCAAATTAATTAAGGATAATGTCATTTTGCTGCTGAGCACAACCTGAAAATAACAATAGATTTAGTAATGCATTTTATTGAAAATTAAAAAAATTTAGTAATGTATTTTATTGAATTTTCTATTTATGGGTAAAAAATTCGCACAGGAGACACGAGTATTTATATTCATTATTAAAAAATTATCAAACTTACTGCAGGCTCTTCTGGTGAGCCGTTGAGTTCTTCATCATAAACTTCAGTGGTTTTAGTTTCTGAATCTGCTACCAAAATTTGAGATTCATGTGCTAATGAACCCTCTAAATAGATTGATTGCGGTTCTGGCATAATATCAACATCTTCTTTGGACTGTAAATGTATATTAATTAATAAATTCTATGATATAAACTTTTTTCTTAGAAATATTTTTTATAAATGGATTATTATTTATTATTATATTTCATGAATATGATTATAAAATTAAAAGAATTGAAATTAAATTATAAAATAAGTACGATCATGTAGAAGCTCACATAAATATTAAACATGTGTTACTGAAGCTTTTATAAATTTGCAGATATTTTAAGAGTTCAAACTCTGTAGCTGTAAATTGATTATGGCAATTCATTGTCTTTACTTTTCAAATTTTTAAATTTAATACGGGGGCTTCAGCTTCTGAAATCTTCTTCCTGACTACGTTTCCGTTTCTCAACTAAAATAAAAATTAAATCGAATGTACTTGACATCAAACTAAAAAACCTACAATGGCTACTGTATCGTAAGTCATTATTTTTTAATTGTCAATGCAACAAATCTGGAGTTAGTTTAGGGAGTTAATCCCATGAAACCCCCTTAGGATAGGAATAAACGGGATACCAGCACCCAACGGTGCGGAGCACTGCGACCATGGCTGATCTTAGGCAAATAAAATTTTATCCAGCCTGTACACTAATTATCTCTACAAAAACTTACATGTTCGTTGTGTGAAAAGAATACAGGAGTTGGAGGGCGTCCAGTCCATTTTTGTCCACCCTCACAACTTGCTGTTAACTCCATGCCAAGTACCTTTTTTATTTTTTAAATTAAAAAAAAAATAAAAAACAAAATAAAATAGAATGAAATATAAAAACATAAAAGTAATAAAAGAAAAATAAACTTACTGCAACTGTACGTTCAACACTGCCATCTCTACGTTTTCTCTGTTGATTATCCTTGCCATCCTTTAGTAATTCGGCTGTTGTTGGATTCGCTTCATCATTTTTGGATTTTTCTACTTTTTCGTCACTAACCATTGTTGCTGATTTCTCTTCAATATGCTCAGATAATGTATGCCCATTGGAAATGTTTCCGTTTTTTGTATTCGAATTTTCGTTTAATTTCTGTTTTATTTAAAGAAATTCAAATCACAAACAATTAAAAAGGATATTAAACATAAATGTATAGAAACAATAAAAACAACAGAAAGCTTATTTAAGTCTATATAGCATAGAAAAAGTAAACATACAAAAATCAACATCGAACACAAAAACTAATTAATATTTTTAAATTTTAGTATTTTATTAATACATTAATTTCGGATAAATAAGAAAAATTCACATTTATTTTAAAAACAATTTAAATGACGACAACACAAATGGTTTAGAATTATAGAAAGTTAATACAGTTAAAAAAGTATTTCATATTTCGCTAATTAAAATTAGTTAATGTTGTTTTCCATTCACAAAGATCTAACCTTAGGTAAATCAGAAGTCGCATTATTCTCTCGTAATTTCATGTGCTCATCGGCAGCGTCTATCAAACCTTGAATTGCTGTTACAACTTTTTTGCAAATTATTTTCAAGTCAAAAACGAATTTTTTTTTGGTATATATAAAAAAATGAAATACAAAAAAATATTTTAAATAAAGATTTTGTACATTTAAAGAATTTCCTGTTTTAATTTAATCGAAAAAAAATTATATATGTAGTACATGTTATGTGATTTGCGATAGATGAGAAAAGTGATTTTATGCAGAGAAAGAAATAAATCGATAAATCATTTAAAATATGTCCTCTTATCTTAATTTTTAAATTTGTGGCATCGTCATTGGAGTTAGGTGCCTTGTTAGTAAACTCAATGTGGACTCATGCTTCCAGACATGCTGAAGTGTTAACACAGACAAGAACTTTACGAGAGAATCTGAGGTGTTAGCTGAAACGTTGGGAATTAACATTGTGTGGTCATTCCAATTCTTGGGTGCATGGGAAATAAGTTCGGGTGTAATCTTCTGCTATATTTTATGCATAAGAATATTAAAAGAAATTTTTTAAAAGTACTTAGTTTGAAATGTTTGCATTTGTCGTTGTTTTCATATTTAAATTTTATTAATTGAATTTAATGGAGTTGCCGGTTTATAAATTTCATGGCGATCATCTTAAAAATGAAGACATTGATAAATAATAAGTAAAAAAATATATAAAATATATATATATCATATATTTAATAATAAAATAAATTAAAATTTCTTATTCTTTTTTAATAATTATTTTTACGAAATAAAAATTATTCAAAAAACATATTTCAACTAAATTAAATAAATTAATTCTTTAATTTAAAAAATGTTTAATGAAATGATGAAATGTAGCGATAAATATTATTAATATTATTATTCTTTTAAAGCAAAAAACAAAATTTTTTTTTTATATAAGCTACTAAGTAATAAACGCCATAATAAACACATATGCTAAGTAATTAATAACTAATATAAGATTTTAGTTCAAATTTCGAGTCAAAGTGCATAATCCTAAGCTCCTCCCTCATTCAAAAGTATGTTCTTTGGGCTTTTTCATTTAATTTCATTTTTGATCTTTCATATTGAATCGAATTATGTAGAAATACGATTAAATTTAATGCTTGTATAAATACTTTTTATAGTATTTTTTTATTTTATTTTTATTTATTTAAAAATTCTATATTAATTGGTGGTGTTTGAATAATTCAACAAACAGAAATATCTAAATTTTCATAATATAATTTGAAATATTCGGATACCCCCTAGCATTAAATAGTTGGAATATTAAATAATCTGAGGGATATTAGGAATTCTCCTGATAAAACACGTGTAGAGAAACACAAAATACAACGTATGAAATAAAAGTTAAAATATTAAAATATTAAAAAACAAAAACCATTAATCTGACTTTAATCTGAACAGTTGAAGTTACCGGAATATTTCAAATTATATGTTTTATGCTCATCGCACAAAAAATCTTGTGGTAATCTATATGGCATATAACATGAAACGAATTATAAACAAGAATACACGAGTAAAGAAAGTGCAAAAGACGAGGGGATTTTTTAGGAGAGAACTAAACGAGACGAATTTTAGACGGATTTTAATTTAAGTCAAAGATGGACCAAACGATCAATTGAACTCAAATTGGTGCGTGCATTAGGACATAAAAACAGATAGGAAATATCATGTGTAGTAGAGCTGGAGTTAGGGCACACAATGACATTTATGTAGCACATGTAACTGTTTAACATATGACTATCGATCTAGGACATTTTTTACTGCACGGGGAAAAAGTGTCATGTCACCTTTCCCGGGAGATATTAAACTACAGTACCTGACTACAGTCGTTAGAAATGACAAAAATAAAGTTAAGCAAAAGCATTTTTGTAATAAGGTGCATGATTAAGTTACAGTAGCTGGGTACTGTATTCCATATAAATTGACTACGGTAAGAGTCGTCAGCTATTGTAATTTAATCGTAAGTTGAACATTATACGGTTTATTCTGTAGTTTTAAACTAAATATGTAACATATCATTCCATACAGTTCATAAATATGGAAGCGTGTTAAGTTTTTAGTGTTTAAGTTTATAAATATTAAATTCTACATTTCATTATGTTGCTTTTAGTAAAAACTATAGTTACATATTATAAATCTGCGAACAATAATTTGTATGTGTTTCCTAAAAAGTGAGAAGATAAGCCAAATTAGCTAGACTTGTTAAAGTCTAGCTAAGTTTTCTAAACGCAGGATAAAAGTACTGCAATTCACTAATACTTCAAATGCAAATAATAGATGTTTCCAATAACCACTAATGATGGATATATGTTATTATCCGAAACATATGTATGTTAACCCACGAATTCACTTGATTAAAATGAAAAATGATTGAATTTGCAAATTTCTTTACTGTGGGGGTAACACTTTTCCATAAAGTATTTATAAATCTAAAACATTATATTATATTATATATAAGTTTATAAATAATTTTGTATAAATGCACTAAGACAATCGAAATTTGAACTTTAAATCTGTTTTTAGCAGGTTTATTCCCTTAACACCTAAACCAATTGATTTTTTAAAATTATTTCTATTCTATTTTTACTACTGAAACCTTTTAATTAGCGCTTAACTTCTTTTCTAACCTTGGCTTCAATTTGATCTGAATTCATTTCAGCGATTAATCTTGCCATTGCTTTTTCAGTATCCTCAAGCCTTTTCCTTAGTTTCTCAATTTCCATTAGCTGTTCTGATTCCTTATTGAAACCAGCTGGTATAGCACCCGCAGTAGTGTTAGCCGGTTCTATTTGCTGATGCTGGGGTTGGAAGCGGTTATACTGTGGTGAGTATTGCTGGTGCTGAGAATGACGATATTTTAGTGACGATGACAAATTAGAAGCTGCCGCAGTCAGGTTAGAAGCTGCATGATAAAGTTCACTACCGCTTCTGGGATCGTGCGAGTGCAGATTAGTTCCTAAAAATTTTTATTGGTACTGGTTTGAATGGGATTCATATTAACAAACAACAGCAATTCGTTAAATAAATACATCAACAATACAATAATAAATAATAAACAATATACAAATATAGGAAAAAGAATTTAATGAGTTTATATATAGTATACGATGGGTAGGTAGAGTATGAATATATCAATATGTATGTGTGATAAATCGGTAAAGTAAAATGTATAAGCATAGACAAATGATTTTTATTTGTCTAATATATAAGTTAGATTGAAACAAACACCCAGGATTTGTAATTTACAACAATAATAATTACAACAACAAATACGCGTTATTTCGTCTTAAAGCAATGTGGCCAGCACAAAAATTGAAATGAATTTATTTCTCTTTTATTTCCAAAAGAAAAACAAAGTACAAATACCACATGAAAATATATAGGACATATTTTAAAATGATAAAATAAACAACTATTTTAAGTTATTAAGAAAAACTACACATACAGATTTGTACATAGAATAAAAAAAACTACATAGCAATCTTACTTGTTTGATGCTCTCTCCACCCTGTATTTTTATGCATATATATTTATATTTGTATATACATGATGTTAAGTTAGGGGAAAATGATAAATAATATTTTATATAATTTAGCACTAGTTTTTGGTGAAAGCAAAAATAATAGTTCTAATTTGACATTTTTAATCAACCGCACTAATCGAAAAATCGAAAATAATATTAACTTACCCAATTTGGAGCCATTCAAATCCTCAACATGTCTGCCGTTATCGTGTCCAAATACTTCCTTTCTAAAGTTTGGATCAGAAGGTGCTGGTCCATAAGGCGCGTTTGGTATAGGCTTTTTTAGAACTATCTGATTAAGAGAAAATTTTAAAAATTAATATTTTTGACTTTTTATTAAATATAATTGAGACTCAATTATAACTTATTATTATAAATGATATTACTGATTAATTGAAGACTACATATATACTACATATACCTATGTACGACATGTATATCTGTATAATAAATGTGACGTTTGAATCACAGTGTAGTTGCTGAATGAAATAAATCCAGTAAGACATTGTTTGGTTTATAAGTGAAAAAATCCTAATACAGGAGGCTACCTAATATTACCCACTATCCAAACAAACACTTGTCCAAAAAATCGAATTATAAATATCGTATATTAGTTATTAGTTCATTTAAAGTTTTTTTAAGATACATTTTACATGTTCAGTAATTTTCTAAAGAACTACCTTACATACCTTACCTACCTTACCTTACTGATCAATGTCCTATATACAATGTCTTTTTACCTACTAAATACTTTTTCGAATCGATTATTATTTACGAAATTGAATTCAAGAAATATCTATTGAATTTTTCCATTGTAGTAAGGAAACAAAACTATATTACACTAAAGGGAAAGGAAGCAGTAATCGATCTACTCCAGCTTCCGTTACACAGAAGAGCATTCAGATGTAAAAGAAGTCTAGATATAGGAAATTACAGGAAATTTTGACATCATTATAAAAATGTAGCGTCGAGGATTAAATTTTCTTCACTCAGTTACTGTGGATGCTGAAATTTATTGATCTCTGGTAAGTTACAAAAATTACTTCAACTATTTTTAATTAAGATCACTTATCCAACATATAATTTCAAATATTATTATTGATAAATCACTTTCTAATTTATTATTTAAAAAAAATTATTTATAAATATGATACTTATAAGTAATTGTAATTAATATATTTTATTATCATATATCTTTACCTTCATAATGGTATAACCAAAGAACACAATTATTGCGATTGTATAAATAGGCATTATAAAGCCCATGCTATTACCCTTTTGGGGTTGATGCATTGACCCGGCTCCCATAGGTGGCCGCATACCGGGAATTGGTCCAGGCTGGAAACAAATATTCATTTTAATTAAATTAACTTTGATTTATTTCTTAAATGAAAATGGTTGAAATAATTAATTTAATATAACAATAAATATATTTGTAATTATATAGTTAAAATATCATTTATATAATTTATGTTTGCATCAAACATATTTACATGCAAACAAATACTCATACATACATACAATATACTTGTTGTGAACAACTCATAGCACCCACACTTTGTAAATAAAATCAAAATGATTTAAATGTAAACACCGGTGAAATGGAAATTTGTTTAAATACAAATAAATTATTTTAACAGCTGTTAAATAAATAAAAATAAATATATATACACAATTATAGAAATGAAAAAATATATCTATAAAATAATTGCATTGAATATTCAAAATAATTTGTATTTTGTATTTGAATAATAGGTTTTTACGACTCCTGCACATTTTTATAATCTGCATTATATCTGGTACATATCTATATATTCATATACATACATATATATACGTATATATCTCATAAGATATTACGCTATGAAAAAGTGCGAAAAATACTAAATAAAATTAAAAAAAATATATCTTGACCGTGAATTTATTTTACTCATACAAGATACACAAAAATTTATTTTTCCGTAGGTGTTAAAGATTTTTAGTCAAAAAATTAAAAAATTATGTATATCTTTATATATATATAAATACATCTTATAGTTAGCTAACGCAAAGTAAACATTTAAAAATTTGACACTAAATTTACTAATGAACTTTGAATAACAACGTATATATTTACATATATTTTCTTTATAGAGGAATTTAAGTCCACATGTTCAGATATATTTTCACAATATTTTATATATATAAGTAGAAACACAATATTGAACACCTTCACAGATAAATTGACTAAAATAACCGACTTCTTTAATAATACAATCCTAAAGATTTTATAATGATAAAAAAATGACCTAATATATTTTTTACTCCCTTTCAGTAAATCTTGTAAAAACAAAATATGAGAATTAACACATTTATAGAGTTACAAAAACAACGTTAGACTTTACAACTACAATACCTGATATAATATGGAAATATCTGTTGTGGGGTCAACAGGTAATTAAAATCTACAGCTCTTCTTAGAGCCTAGTCCAATCACACTTTAAAAATCAAAGAACGATGAAACATCACCAAAAGTGTTGAAAAAAATAGTTCTGAAACCATCTGTTCTTATGTACAGAAGATCTCTGATCTTCAACGAAGACGACTATTGCATGATTATTGTCCTCAATGCAACAGAAACTGTATGAGCTTTATCATGATATTGATACTCTATAGCGGACTAACATTTAGCGGCTTATGTAGTTTGGTTATATCGTAAAAATGGAGAATTGCACCTTAGCGCAAAAGTTGTTTAAAGAAGTAGTCGGTGGAGTGATCAAATTGAGAGATCAAATTTCAAAACAAATTTATGTATGCGACTAGAGAGGGCATAAAGTAAAGGGGCCAAACGAGAAGTACTGCGTCAAGCCAAAACTCTGCAACAGGTTGTTGGGGCCATATAAGTAAATAAATAATTTAATTAGCGACTCACATTAAGGGCAAATGAGTAAGTAATTTAATCGACGATTTACAACATATTTTTAAGGTTTGGATGCATATGCTTTATATTATTATGTCAGTGTTACGATAAGTCTCTTAGAGTATTAAATGAATTTTATTCCCAGCTATATCTATATTATATTAATTTCTAATATATCTATATAAAAATGTGTGCTAACTGTATATTAAAACATAACCTCATATATTTCATATCTTTTTTATATTAATGTAGATTTATCTTCTTATATTCAAATACAATTATATTAATAAATAATTGCTTATATATTATAAAAGTCTATTAATACGGTGAATATAAAATTCTTAACCAAATAGATCAAAAAGTTGTTGTTAATGCAAAATAAACACATTATGTAGGGCTAAGCTTTCCCATAGGAAGCTAAAGAAATTGAACACATTTAAAGTTCCATCCTGAAACCCATAAGGTAATACACATTGTGTATCGACAATGTATTCAAGAAGTACTATACAGAAATAAATAACATTTTGAGCGCGAGATATAGTTAGACAAAGTGATGTACTTGTATACAAAAAATCGCAAAACGGAGTGACGTTTGAAAAAATTTTTACGTATACCTTTAGAGGAAAGCAACATTAAAAAGAAAGGACAAACGTTAATGTTAAAAATGTATATCACAGATATGTCCCATATGATGATATAAACTTGCTACGAATGGAATATGGTATAACGATGTATGTACAGTCAACAGAAGTATCCAATAGAGTGAGGTTTGAGAAAACACTTCTATGCCAGTAGACAAAATTAACACTAAAAAGAAGATATGCGTATAGTTAAAGAAAAACATTATAGTTATAACATTTTAGCTATAAAATTTATTATTTTAATAAACTATTTATAATTTTTACTTAAGAATTCTAATTAATTATTGTTAATTGGGCGTTGTATTCATATAATGATGCTTCAGCACAGAGATATAAAATATTAACTTAATGCAGACTGTTTATTCTCGACAAATACTTTCACGAAACGAGTTATAAGCTATATAAACAGATTATATAAATCCGAAAAGATCGAAAACCTTGAAACCTTATTATATACCGGATTGTACAATAATTGCACCGGTATTTCTTTTCAAATTATATAAAAGGAAATGAGTTAAAAATATATTCGATAATATTTAAAATGAAAATTAAATATTTTGTTAAGACATTAAAAGTTTCTTGGGGTTAATTATTAATTAATCATATATAACATTTTCGATTTTTAAACTATTTAATTTTTTATACTATAAGAAAAAAATATAAATTTTTATACATACAGACTAACTAAAATAATAAATATATTAATAATAGGGAAAATATTATAAGATAAAACTAATTTGGCAAACATTCAATAACATTATTTTATTTATTTATTTTTTTTTTCTTATATATGCAATGTCATTAAATGAATTTATACTGAACTTAATGTGTACGTGGTATATTGATATATACATATAAACTAATATCAATACAAAGATATACAGATAAACAAAATTAAATTTAGAAAATACTGCTAACGAAGACAGATGTACAAACGTTTAAACTTTCTTAAATAAATTAAAAATAAAATAATTTCATTTAACACACATTTTTAAAATCATAAATAATTAATTTAATTAAAGACATAATTCAAAACAAATTTTATTAATTAAAAACTAGTCACTAATTAGATATTTAAACCAATTTAGTATAACTTACTCTTCCTTCAACAATGCGCGGCGGAGGATTGCTGGGTGATCCCTTTCTTTCGACAATTGGTACAGTAGGCGTAACAGGAATAGCGCGCCCACGCTCACGCATCGCCTGATATATCGATTCAGGATGTAAGTGAGCAGGTCGTTCCTGTCGTAAACCTGTGTGAAAATCTGTTTTTAATTAATGATTAATTTTATAATGTAAAGCACTGCTAGACATTAGTTTTTCGCATTTCAAAAAATTTGTTAATAAAGTAAATGCGAAAAGTTTTATCAAAATAATAACAACATTTATTATACATGCAATTACCTATGAATTATATTTCACTTTCCTTTTCTTAAAAGCAAAACCATAAACCATAAAAATAAAACTCATATTATCATAATTACATTATGTATGCATGTACATTTAAAAACATTGATTAAACACAACAACACTGTATTTGATCATTTAAAAATACTTAAATGATTTTAGTATAAGAGTATAGAGTATAAGAGGTGCATATGGAAGAAGACAAGCCTAGACAGACGACTGTTAGGTGCAATGACTTTTTATGTTAAAGATAAATATGATAACCAGAGTACCATGTAAAGAATTTAATCTAGTAAGAGTGAAATAAATTAATATTTTGCTTTTAGAAGTATTAAAAGAATATATCCATATATTTATTATAACACCATATACATTCTCTTTAAAATTCTGACAGGTTAAATACTATTTGGATGACGAACCAAAGAAATTAAGATCAACTTAAGCGATTTGATCTATTATGCCTTAAGTTATTGAAATTGAATTTTTGATATCAGATATAATACCCTGAACTGCGAAAATCATCTAATGATACTCATAGATTTTGTAAGAAAGACAATGAGATCAGGAAAAACATACTACACGCTTTAATCCACAATTGAAAGAGATACTTGAGATACATCTTATATCGGATGAAGAAATAACACTTGATAAAGTAGGTTTGGAACTATATGAAAATAGATCATTGATTGCAGTACAAACTTAATAATAATACCCTAATAATAAATATTATATAGACTATTGTTTAATAAAAAATACAAACTAATTTATAAGTTTTCAATAATTATGTATGAAAACAAAATATATATAAATGATTATTTGATCCAAAACAAAGTATCAAAGACAAATTTACTCGAAAAAACTGCATTTTTGTAGAAACGATTCATACAAAGATCTTAAGTCATATGAAAGTGACTTGATTTTATGTCTCATTTGCATTTTTGTTTTGATATCTTCGATATTATGAAGAGCTTTTAAGTTAATGTATTTAAAACCTTCAGTCAGTCTAGTGGGTTAAGCTAATATATCTTATATAGCGTGGTTTGCAAATAAATTTTGCAGCAAATCCTATGCAAATGTCCAGGCCTGGAAGTCTTCGCACTAATGAGGGTAGTGGACCTGCTAAATATAGATTTATTAAAACCAATATCTTTTAATTACCGGTACAGGTTGGTTTTAAAATACAGAATATCCTAACCGCATGGGTATAACCAAAAGGACACTAATGTGCTACTTAAAGAGAAGAGGAAGCTCTGACGTGGCTTAAGTCAACTAATAATGGAATATCGTTTATCTACAATAGAACTCTAAGGAAAATATTATTATTAAAATAACTAATAATTTTTCTGACTTTCAATATAATATGGAACTTTCTTAAGGGAATTTTCTTAACTAAACAATTCTAGAAATTTTGATATATTGAGTTATGCTACATCACTATTAGTTATATACATTATATAGTAAAGTAAATAAAATTATTTGGATATTCTTTCTATGATAATTATAAGACACAATTAAGTAAAGCAACCAGTAGACATTAAATAACAGATTCTTTTTCAAAAACAAGAAAACAAATTCTATTAGTAATATTAATTAGTCATTTTTAGTATATAGATAAGCAGTTATTTAGTTAATAGGCATTACACCAAAATAAAGTCCTCTCATTCTAATTAGTATAGGCATTCTATAGATTTTAGTATGAAATCGTCACTATTGTAAAGCAGAAATTGTTCGCAATTTTTGTTCATATATTAGAAAGAAGAAATACTTTTAAACGTACTGACTTCGCCGGTTATTATATTTATTTGCTTGCGATATAACTGAGGCCCAAATGGTTCAGCAGGTGTTGTATTTAAAAATTTTTCCCTGTCAAGCACGACATCACAGCATCCTAAATGTATATAAAGTTCACGACAACAAGACGTACATATATACATATACATATAAAAAACAATTATTTAATACTCGTACAATATATTAAAAAGATATACAATATATATATATTATATGAAGAAGCAAAATTTTAATTTTTTTCGTTTACACTTACCACCTGGTCCACGTTGATCTTTGATATTCGGCTTAATAGCTGTTCCACCAAACATCATTGGATAAAATACTTTGGGCCATAATATCGCAATGCAGCCAATTACTGTTACAATTATTAAAGCTGTTTTTTTGGGACTAAGTGCATCGTTTAGATAGATCGGGTGACTTGGTACCCGTCTTGATGCTGTTGTTGTTGGTTGTGCTTGTGTATTTGTATGCATCGTGTCTTATTACATGTACGACTTTTGTGCCGTGTCGTTTAATCGTTTCTTAATTTAGTGATTATCTAATAAATATTCGTGAACTTTTTTTTTGCTTTTGAAGTATATATTTTTGAGGCAATTGTTATTTATTCTATATTAATATTCGATATTGTTTCGCAGTTTATGTTAATGGTACGCTTAATTTATTTTTATATAAAACAGTTATATTGCTAATCATTTTTCGATTTTTAATATAAAAATCAAATATTATTCATAATCTGCAAGTACTCACAATATGTAATTATGTTAAAAAATTATTATTTTGTAAAAACTTAAAGAATATTTAATGCGTAATGTACGTATTAAATAAATCTATAAGTGAAATGGAAGTATGTATATGAAAAAAAAAACAATTTAAACAATTATTTATTGTGGCGCCAAAAATGATATTAAAAAATAGTTAATATAATACTTTTTTTTTAATACTTAAATGTTATTTAAAATAGTAACTAAGTCCGTGCTGGAATCTAAAATTATATTTGTCCTTACGGAATAATTAAAAGATTATTTTGTTAATGAAAATAAAAGTGACTATTTTTTAAGATTGATTCACATTGTGTTATATGGTATTATAATGACACAGTCTAGTCCTATGATTCAACAAGTTTATTAAAATTTAATAGATGGAACATAGATCACAGCTTTTACTTTATAATTTAGTATAGTCTAAATAGTTATGTATTAAGTTCTTATTAAAAAACTTAAACTTTCTAACGAAACTTAAATGAAAATATCACTGTTTTTAAGCAACCCGAAATATATATTTGTGGCTATTAATATTTTAAATAAACACATTCATTCTTCACAATTATATATTATTATATAACAATTTATTTTATACATTTATTTAATGTAGGGATGCATTAATACAAAAAATAACTTTATAAGTACGATTGCTAGTTTTTTTTTTTTGTAATGATTTGTCACAATTATTGTACAATTTATATATATTTTTGTTTTTTGCTAATTCAGTTTTTAATTATTTCGATAAATCTATCGAAATATCTAATAAATTTATTTTTCTTTAAAATCTTTAATAAATTTTCTGTACATATAAATTTATATGTGATATGCGTTAAAGTCTACACATTTATTCGTACTTTATGCAAAAATAAAAAAAAAATAAAATTTATTACATAAAAATCGTCCCGTATATTTTTATTTTTAGCGCTCACGTCTTCGCTCTGCAATATTTTATTTTTAAAAAATAATAAATATTTTTAATAATTTGCACACATTTTTTAGAAGTTTACTCTTTTTATACACAAAATTCATTAAATTTTCGTTTAATTTACATAATCTTCCGTTAATATAGTACTTTAATTACAATCTATTTAAATATAACGTATTTTTCATGTAAGTATATTATTTATTAAATAAAGTCACAATCCTTACACTCAGCCCGAAATCTGTGTTCGAACTATTTAAGTCAAATTTTTTAACTGAAAATTGTTCCAAATATACGCAATATACACAAGAGCAAAATTTTCTTTTCTTTACCCAACAGTTTTCTTCTTCAGTTTTATTATTGCTCATAGTTTTTATTTTGCATTGATAAAGTGTTGTTGTTTTTGACATTCATTTTCTTTAACATTTTCCAATCATATTTGCAGAGAGTTTTTGCAACAAAAATGCTCGTGACGTCACTGCCGGCTTAACAAAACTGATGTGTGGCACTGCTTTTATGAATGATACGAGTATCTCAATATATGAGAGTAAATCAGACATTAGAGTTATCAGACAACACAACAAAATACAACACATGTATGTATACATAGATTGCTTATTGAACTGGAAATAATTTACTATTTTCAACAATTCATTGATTATTTGATGAATTATCCATTGAGTATGATTCGAAGCACATTTTTTATTATCATTTAATGTAACAAAAATTAATGTTTATTCGTTATTAATTTATATTAAAATTTATAGATTTTAAATTTATTAATTAATTAACAGAAATGAATGTTTCTCTGTTATTAATTTATTTTATCATAAATTGATTATAAACATTTATATATAGTTGATTTTAAATTCAATGTTGTCCATAATTTTATATATAAACAATTTTTTGTATATTTTTAATTACTAATTTATCAAAAGAATTAAAAAAATATATATAATGAAGATAAAAAGAAAATTTAATGTTTTAATAATATAACAATAAATATTTTATATTAATAAAAATTTTTTTGCACAACATAAGAAAATATATAAAAAAAACAAGTTTTAATATTAATTTTAATATTTATTTTAAATTATTGTATTACGTTAGTTAGTATATTTTTTAAACACATAATTAAAATTACTATTTTGCCACATTATTTTAAAACACATAAGTTTTTTATGAATTACATACTAAAACTTAATTTTAAAACTTTTTTCAGTATTTCGTCTGAATAAATGTTACATTAAATTTAAATAAATAATATATTAAAATTGTACAAAAATGTTTTACGCCCAATGCAAATTCGTCTCTACTTAGTAGAAAAATCAATAGAAATGTTACTTATTGTTAAAAATATTTTGGGTTTGAAGCTTCATTTGAACATGCGTACAAATTATATATATTAGTGCAGTAGAAAATAAAATACTTACTACATCTCAAAAATTTTACCTTTAGAAATAAAGCAAAAATTGTACACTTACATATAACAATTTTATAAAATAATATAAAGTTACAAATGAAATGCAGTTAAAAATAACAAAAATAAATTATAATAAGAAAAATTTTCAAATATTTTTATAATTAATATAGATGTTATTTGCAATTTGAGAATTTAAAATTATTTATTTAATAATGCCTCTACGAATAGAATAGTTTTGAAATTTAACAATTAAAAATAAAAAATATAATTAATTAATTAATTCAATTATTCTACAGCTGGATTATGATTTCGTTCTAATATATAAATACAGCAAGTAAAATTGTTAATAAAAACTTTCATAGCAAAAGTAACAAAACTTCAGCAAAAATATGCTAACATAAAAAGTCAAGTACGGCTTTGAATCAGTTGGTTAAGGTGCGCTGATTCTGAGCTTCATATTTGGCAGGACCCGAGTTCGATTCCTGGTACTTGCAGTCTCAAAAATAATTATTTACGAATAATTAAATATAAGAATTATTTCCAAGATCACTGATGATAGGTATTTGGCAATACTCGCAACAACTGTATGATCAGCCAAAAATTCAATTAATTAAAATAATTTAAAAAATAAATTTTTGTTGTTGTTTCACTTCTGTTCGAAAACCTCTTTATGAAATTATTTATTTTGTAAAAATAAAATTAAAACATATTTATAAAAAACACAATAAACGTCTTTACTTTACCAAAAATATACGTAATTACGTAGATTATTTCAAGAGCTATTCAAAAAAAAAAAACATTTTACTATTAATAGATAACTGAAAAAGTTAAAGCTTCAGCACCACTAGGTTCTATAGTCATTTAGTTGTGTAGGGATTTTGTAAAGGCCAAGTTAGACAGACAATCAAATAATCGTAAATGATCATATTTCTTAATGCGTACGAGTTAAAAAATTGAAAGCATTGAAAGCAACAACAAATATAGTGTAATGTTCGATGAACACTTGATATCTTGTGAAATATAGTTTTTATTGGTCTCGTGTATGAAGATCTTGGGTTTGTGATGTTCCAAGTGCCATTTTAAACACTTCAGGGTTTCTAATTCTGTAAGACAGTCTTTATCAAAAAATACAGTTATTATAAATCTGTTGACTTTTTTAAACTTGATTTAAGAAAACACATTTTCATTCAAATTTTTAACTGTGTATTTCTTAACAAAAACCATTTTCGTAATTGAATATTTATGAAACCAATTTAATAAATAATAATATATATATGTACTTAATATATATATAACATTATAAAAAATATGAATTTATCTACATATATGTTAGAAGATAACAGTACAATTACAGCAAGTAAATGCAATTATTAAAACTTTATATAAATGCTACTTAATACTTAAATTTAATTTTATTGTTAAATTTTTATTAGTCATATATAAATAAAAATTATGATATATATAACTTATATTTATATAATTTTCTACACCGAAAAAGTAGTGAATAATACGCATATTTAACAATATACTATTAAGTAGTATGTAAATAACAAAAAAATATTTGATGAATTCTGCATATATCTGGCATCACTATTTTGTTTTGCAACAGTCTGGTAATAACATTGAAAAGAAAGTAAGTGTTTAATATTGAATTGCTTCAGAAAAGGAAAGCGGTTGCAGCAGTCAAATTGACTCGTGGAAGTGGGTTTTTCTTCAAATTTAAAATTGGTACAAATTTTTTTTATTGCTGTCAATTTAAAAGAATATACACAATTAAATGTTTTTAAAGTAAACATTTTAATGAAGCCACATTATCTTATAAATGCAAATTAAGGATTAACAAATGCATTTCAAATAAAATTATTGCTCTTAGTTTTTAATTTTGTGCAAAATCGCTATAATAACCTATATATAAATATTATAATTTATACTAAATTACACCAAAGAAACTTTTTAAGTAAATATTTTGAAAATATAAATTCCTTATAAATTATTAAAATTAATAACATCCGTTTTGCCGATCATATATTACAAGAAACTGCCGATATGAAGAATATATTAGATGTTATGTCTTTTCAAAATCGGAAAGAAGCGAATAAAGCACAAAAGATAAAATTAACTGATTACCGGTAGGATATATATTTATTTATTTATCACCCATAATTCGATATATGTTCACACACACGTAGTAAAATCAATAAGTCTGGTGTTGTGCTCAGATTTTTGTTCGAATGTGCCATAAAGCTTGAGATGAAGCCATTAACATCGGCAAGTGCTGCAATTATATACCATCGTTTTTATAAAGAAGTTGAAACAGCAGATTATGACGAATACGTAAGTTTCTCAAAGACTGAATTAAAAATCTGTTTTGAGAATTAAATCCAATATATATATATATAAAATATTTTATAAACAATATATCTATAACTTATTTATGATATAGTTAATAGCTGCATCAGCATTATATTTGGCCGTTAAAATCAAAGATGAGCCAATAAAAATACGTGATGTTATTAATGTAGCTCACAGTACATTAAATCGTGGTGCACCCCCATTAGAACTGGGCGATGAGTACTGGTCAATGCGCGACGCAATCGTTCAGGCTGAGTTATTGATTGCACGCACACTTAAATTCGACTTAAACTTTGAACATCCACATAAGGTATATATTACAACAAAAAAATATTTTTAATGCGTACAAAATATATATTCTCCTCCTAGTTTTTGTTGTATTATATGTCCACATTAAAAGACTGGTTGGGTCCTAACATTTGGAATTCGGTACCAGCTGCAAAAACGGCTGCATCATTTTTACAAGACTTCCATCACAGCCCAAAAATACTTAATCACAAGGTGAACCACATTGCAGCTTGTTGTTTGTCACTGTCTTTACAAACTTATGGAATACAAGTTCCCTTATCAGATGAATCTGATGATACGTCTATGTGGTATTTGGTAAGTAAAGTATTCATTTAAATCTTACTCAATATAATAAAAATGTATGTATTAGCCATTTGTAACAGATTTAAGTAAGGAAAAACACTGGGAGATAATTGAAGATATTATAGAAGTTTACAAGCAGGAAGCTGTAATTAATGCTTATTAATTAAAATATTTACATTTCCATTATAAACTTGCATTAAGTTGTGATATAAATTTTTATGGAAGAAACCATATTAATTTCTGTTCATATATTATTTATTTTGAACTTGTATAATTTTTTTAAATTAAAGTATGTTCTATTCATTTCGAATAGTTTAACTTTCGGCTCTTAAACTTAAACTATTTTAAAAAAGAATTTAAAATTTTTTCCATATAAAATGTAATTACTTATTTAGAATTATTAATAAATATTGAATCGTATAAGAAATAATTAATGCTTGTGCTTGCTTTTATATTTTTCAACACGATACCGTGGAGATGCTGCACGTGTACCACTGTAATTCTCTCTGAGGTAGTTAGGTGAAGGTGATCTTAAAATAAATATTGTGTTAAATAAACCTAATGCTGGTTTAAGTTTTAAATTTAATATTACCTGCGTGAATTAGATGTGGATGCGGGACTATCGTAACGTGATTTGGATGAACTGGATTTGCGTTCAATTTGATGCCTTGGTGGTGACTCTGAAGAACTCCGTGATCGATGACGTTTGCTAGATTTACTGCTACGGTAACTTCGTGTAGGACTTGATCTCGAACTGCTACTATTATATTGATTTGGCGAAACTGAACGTTTTTTATTCTGTCTTCTGCTGTCAGGACTATCGTTTCTCTGCAATTCTTTAGTATATAAGCAACTTAATGGTGAATCAATCATTTCCACACGCGTATCCTGTAAATATCAAAAGTTTAAATTGACTCATTTTCATTGAATTATCAAATCACACCTTTTTTAGTAATTTTTTCCGATAGTGTTGCACTTGCTCCATTACAGTCCAACCAGGTTTTAAATCTCTTTCTCCAGATTCGAGATCATCTTGGTATTGTATAGTTTTCAACTCGATTTCACGTAACTTTTGTCGTTTATCCTCCTTTTCATTTTCTGAGTCTGAATCACTATTACTGCTTACATGACGCCCATATATTTTAGGTGCTGGCGGAGGATCTAATGTATCCCATTTACTTGTTGTAATTGCTTGTGCTTCGACTTGCTCCGGATCTACAGTTTCCCACTTAGATGGAATAAATGTACCGCCTTTCAAATGTGTTTTGGAAGCATTGAACATTTGTTCGGGTTTCAGTTTTTCTAAAGGCACACCATCTATATCATCATCCACTATAAAAGTTTATAAATTGTATATAAATAATATATTTTTGAAGTTCAATTATTTTATTTTACTTGGCATTCCATCAATATCATCATAGTCATCGTGTTCTAAGCTCTGTCTTTGAAAGGCTTCCTCTTTCATTGGCAATGCATCGGGTAAGCCGCGCAAAAGTGCACCTTTAAGCAATGCAGCACCATCTAATGGCACACCATCCAAATCTTCATCATCCTTTTCATCACCTGATAAAGGAGCACCATCAATATCTTCAATGATTTCTTCTTTTTGTTCTTCAGTTCGTACAGGCGAAGCCACTATCTATAATTAACTTTTATTGTAAAACAGGAAATATCTTTTATTTCTTTCTATCTTACAGTAATGCCCAAAAATGTACTCTTTAATTTTAATATGAATTCTTTAGGATATATTAGCCATTCTTCCCAAGCCCGCAACACTTGAAGAACTCTAGATTTAAAACCTTCACTCTTAAGGCGACTTTCCATTGAGCCGAAAAATGTAGCTAAATATTCAAATACATCCAGTAAATGTTTCTCAAAACTGAAAAGTAAATGTAATTATTTATTTAATTAAAATTAAACGATCACACTTACGACTTTCTGAAAAACGATGCATTTGATACTTTAACAGTGCAATTATGCAAAATATCCGATATTAAATATAAACGAGCAATTTTTCTTGTTGCAAGAGTATTTGGATTGGCTAGAGATTCAGCTATACATTCACATATCTCGTCCGCTGCATCTGCATGTTCAATACAAAATATCATAGCATCTCCAATGCGTGAACGTTCAGGTGACAAATAATGTATAATATCTTCTAACCTATCACGTTGGCTAAAATAGGAAAATATCTATACTAACTGAAGGTATTCGGTTTCAACAACCTACGCATTTGAAAGAGCTCCTTTAAGAATTTCCGGTGCATCGGGATCAACAACTAAATCATCTGCCATACCCTGGGTATAAAAGTTAGCAATGGGTGGTTTCCAAACTGGGCCATCTTTAAACATGCGGAACTCCTTTTCATTCCATTCACTTGGACTATCTCCTTGCAATAGTGAAAACAATTTCCAACGATAATATATATGTGCTGGACTTTCATTATCAAAAAGAAATGAAAACAACGGATTTTCAATTTCTCGATACATAATTAAAGCCTCAAACATAGGTCCTTCACGGATTACAAATTCTATCATGCGATGAATAATATTTAGAACGGATCTATAACATAGACTTAATGAAATTTAATTCTTATGATATATATTCAAAGTAGTTACTTTTCAGTGGGTATAAAAACTTTAACGATGCATTTTGGAAGTACCTGATGAAAATTATTATTAAAAAAAAAATAAAATACTAATATAGAATTCAAAAAACCTTTTCCATTGCCTCTTTTTCTTCATCAGTCGTAAATTGTTTATAATTTACTTTAGGAACATTTTGTTTTTCACTAGGAGGTGGCTGTGCATTAAATGGCAGTCCTGATGGTGGTGGTGGCATAGTAAGTTCCAAAAGCGGTGGTGGAATAAAAATTGGTTGATTCATAATCGGAACGGATTTGCCCCAACCTAATCTCATTTCGTGACCCATTATGTAACGACCATTTAGTGTTTTCAAAGCACGTTCAGCATCTTTACGGCTCATGTAAGCTACGAAGCCGCAGTTGCGACCACGTTGTTTCTCCTCCTCTGAACGTGGCCACATAATTTTTATACTAGCCAAAGGTCCATAACGACCAAATATTTCCATTAATTGTTGCTCAGAAATCTATTAAAAAATTTATTATATATATACATATGTGCAACATTGTTATTACCTTAGGGTTTAAGTTGCCCAGATATAAATTAGTAGTATTTGGGTCTCCGGTATCAAAAGATCCAGATTCACGAGTTTCGGCGGGTTGAGCTTCCACAACTGTTTGTTGTTGTACTATTTGCTGTCCGGCTATATGTTTATATTTGTGACGTTCCTCCCGTTCTTCTTGTATTCTAAAGTAACATATGTAAATAACAAATTTGAGTAAGCAATATTTCTACGAACTGTCGCAATTCCTCTTTGAATAGCTCCAAATTACTCTTCTTTTTTTCTTGATGTTTCTTTTTTAGTGGCGTCGAGTCCTTTTGCAAATCAGATGCAAGCATTTTTGCATATTCTTGTGCTTTTTCTGCAGCGCTTTTCTCCTCTACTTTTGTACTAGGTTTGTAAAGTTTACCCTTTTCTCTACTATCTTCGCCTATTAGTAAATATAAATAAAATAATTATAACGAATTCTTAATAAGCTAAGTTTATGCATACGTCGGGATCCCGCATCATAAGTTCCAGCTTTAACCCATACCTTTGTAAATGGGGACGGTGTATCTTGAAATGTTTCGACAAATTCTTTGAAAGCCTAAAATCGTATAAGATATTTACATACATATTGCATATTTAAAAAATTGTAATTTTAGAATTTAAATATACATGAGCTGCTGCTGCTTCATCCTCTTTTTTCTTTTGTTCTTCCAATTCCTTTTTAGACATTTGCCACATACTCCCCATCGTACCAACAGTAAATGCTTCCAATTTCTTTTCATTGATCCTCTGTACAAAAATTTTTGTTATGTGAATAGGTGCATGCACATATGTATGTAAATATTACCTTCATAGTTAATTGTTTTTTGTTTTTTGGAAATTAAATATTGTGCAACATACAACTTTATTATTAATTCACATATGAAATATATTAATTTTACTAAAAATGCACTTCTCCACTCGCCGCACAAATAAATCGATAACATATGAAAGTGTCAAATTAGTCAAGTGTTACCAGACCATCAAAATCTACACGCGACTTCAAATGTTTTAAATAAAATCACATATATCAAGCAATTAAAACCATTATTGTCTCACTTAAACAATTTTGCTCATTAAAAGAGGAACCCATTATAAATAAATCAACTGATTTAAGGCGAACAATTTCAAATGCTAACAATATAAATAAATTTCTCACAAAGGAAATTACCAAAATTTGACATATTTGGCTTATTTTTTATATAGCCGCAATTTTTTCTATCAGCATAGATAAGAAAATACTCACAGTTTACTTAAGAAAACACATAAAGCAACAATAATGCTTTTAATTATTATTTGATGTTTAAAAATTCTTAATGGGTCGTTTTACACTATCATGAACATGAACTTGAAAACCGGTTACTTATAGATGAGAGTGGGAAGAGAGTGTGATGCGAGTTCATGAATTTCCCGAAATGAAATTTTCTGCGTTTCTTTAGCTTGACACGCATGCATATGCAATATTATGTTTACGTTTATCTTTGATTGCTGAATACTCTCAATTTCTGTGCTCTGCACTACTACACACAAGCATTTTATACGTTTACACAAAACAAAATAAATTTCATGATGACAGTTCATGTTGCCGCCAAGTTCATCTTACGTTCATGATAGTGTAAATCGGCCCTATAAGAGGAAATCATCTAAATATCATAGACCCAAGCGTTGAAAACAAAGAGTGCAAAATGATTCTGGCATAACAATCAATCATAACAATACAACAATGTTAGAAAATTTATAAAAGATTTGTACAACCCAGGATATGTTTTAAAATGCTATTTATTTACTTTTTAATTTATTAATTAAATTATGTATTATATCATTTAAAAAATGTGCACTATACATTTAAATTTCCAGTGTCATTGATACAATTAGACTGTGACATAAAGGACATGTGCGATGTCGTGTAATTTCCATAGGTGCGGCGCAATGATGACACGTACCACAAATCCAAATGTTATTTGTTGGCTGTGTTATTGGCTTACCTGAAGATATGCAGGGTGGGAATCGTGCAGTACAATTATCACAAGTTATAGAACTGAATAGAAACAAGATATTATATTACAATAATTTATTGTACAAAATAAATGAGAAACATACCCATCTGGTAGTGCTTTATCGCAAGAATAACATTGCACATTTTCTACTTTATCATCAACTGGCTCATGTTTAGCAAAAATTTTAGCTGCTAGTTCTTCATATTCCTGCAGAGTCTTCTTTGGTAAATAATCCAAGGACTCAAGTTTCATAAAAGCCTTCGAGCAATTTCCTATAGAATATGAATACATATTACATTGTAATATCAAACTAACTTTTCTAAATAGCTACCAAATGAACGATCTGCAGCACTAGCTAAAGCTAGTAAGCTATATATATCTTCCAATTTTAATACATCTTCATATTCACGTAGACGTAAAGCTGTAATAACAGCATTATGTATCACACCAAACTGTAATTGCCGTTGCGCTAAAAGCATAAAGTGGTATCCTTCCGCACAGTGCCAAATACGTTCAATTGTGTAAGCTTCCTCAGGATTCATTGAGTTGAGTAAAGAGTTACGATCAATATTTTGATTATAAGTTATATTTTTCACATATTCTTCTGCCAATAAACCAGCAAGCACATATAACTTCTTGATTCGTAACAAATTTGAACGTTTCTCAGATTCTCGTTCAGCTAATTTCATAAGTAGTCGCGCTGCATCCAGATACTGACCTGCATTCTTTTTAAGTTCTATAGCTTCTGGGATTCTATCTTCTTTTATCAATTGCGCTGCATGCTTGTCTAAAAGCGCGTTGACTTCTGGCATTTTATATTTCTGAGCTAAATCAACTGCTTTACCCCATTGTCTCAAATTAACACAAGTATCAATAGCAGCTTTATAGTCTCCAAATTTTAAGTATGCGTTTACTGCTTCTGAACACATACCAACGGATGCTAGCATTTCAGCCATTTTTGTTAGTAGAGGACTCTTTTCAGGTAGTTTCTGTATACATTGTTCCAATTCGTCAAATTGTTCTAAATTATACAAGGCATTCATAAGACCCTCAATGTTATGAGCTTTGTCATAATATTCTTTGGCATTCTCCCTTTGAGTATTATTTATTTATTTTATTATATAAAATTTATTTTCTTAAAATTTCATTGCAATCCACTTACCATACTCGCAAATTTGCATAATGGTTACCGATTTGTAGCCATGCAGTTTCCATTTGTTGATCAGATATACCACTTCCCATGCGATACAATTGCACTACTCGGAACCAGTCACAAAGAGTTATACGTAAATTAATAGCAAGATCTCTGTAACAGTAATTTGTACCAATTAAATAAATGATCATTACAAATATATTTTAAGTTTGCTAATTCTCTACCTTCTATCGGCATCAATATAGAGTTTTTCGGCTTCTTCATATTCTCCATAAAATGCAGCTATTTCCGCATTTTTTAATATTTCTGTTGGTATATTACGCAAATGCTTTATTAATTGTATACCTGGATAATTTGCACATCTGACGAAAGCATTTTCCGCCATATCTAATTCAAGCTTCTTCAATGCTGCCTCGGCTAATAATCGCCACAACCGGGGATGTGGATTATCCTCAATAAACTGTTTTGCATCTTCCAGGCCCACATGTTGTAGAAGATCATCCGTGTCTCTCAATGATTTAACACGTAATTGTAAAATATGGCTAACAGGATTCTGTGTTTCGCCACCACTTATAATATCATCTAATAAAACGCTTGTGATTTCTAAATCTTCAAATGCGCATATGTAACCAGAACATGAGATTGGCTCCTCTGGATCATTACCCCGAAATATATACATGCGAGTTTTTTCCATAAGTGACAGCAATAAGGGATTATCTTTAGCCCAACAAATAGCCCACACATCTTTTCGTTCAACACGACTAAAATTTAATTGAGTATCACGATTATCATCAAGTTCTAGTAACGTCATAACACCATATTGATCGATTATAGCTGCTCGTCTATAATTAATGAAGAATATTGTTAGCAAAGAAAATAAAATGAAAAATACATACGTTGAATTGCAATTAATAGCCATTTTTAAAGCTTTGGTGCTCATTTTATGACGATTTCTTAACGCTACATTCGGTACACTGTACTCATTGATAACACCAGACTCCCGTGCAATTAGCAAAAGTTTTTCGGACAAAGCTAACGCACAAATTGGATCTTCAAACTCATCTTCATATTTGATATTCGAACTAGCAGTTATTATTAAGTCCTTGGACATTTCAACGCCAGTCGGCGTATCATCAATATGAAATCGTTTCTCCTTACGTGGTTTTGCAACGTGCACTGTTGAGGCACTCTATGAACAAAGCAAAATCATTATTAGGTGTTTTCGGTGGTTCGCAAGTATGGCAAAAAAACAGCAAGTTGCTGGCCTATACTGACCGAAATTTACGCATCTATCTAGGCCAGTATACTGGTATACTCGTAAAATGTAAAAATTTGGAAAACATACCTTAGGCGTATAATAGTGCCAAATTAAAAATTCGCAATTCGAAGCTATAACAACATAGTTTGAATTTATAGCTACAAAATTTGGCTTAATATCAGTATATTTCGCTGTAATATATTTAACAAGTTTGAAAATTAATTGGAGTTCATAATTAATGCTAGAAATATGTATGTATACGTACAATCTACAGTGGTGCCAATTGAATTACAAAGTAATAACTGGTAGCATTTATCATCGTTACCCTTCCGTTCAAAGGATTCAAGTGCAATATCCTTAATATTACTATTTAAGCACTCGACACAAATAACGCAATGATCATTAGAAGCAGCCATACAAAGTGCTGGTTCCACTTCCTTCAAGAAGCTCTGAAAAAAATATGAACATATGAATATGAACATATCTAACAAGGAAAGATCAATTTAAGATTTACTTGATTTACAGTTGTGTTCCAAAATGTAATAACATCAATTGCTGAGTTCTTTAGGGTATTACTATTCAAGAATACCACTGTTTTTTCAAAATAACACCAAACATAATCTGGACGAATATTCGCAAAATATATAAAAGAATCAACAGCCATTGCAATCCGTAATGAGGAACCCTCCCAAGAAACCGATGTAATTTCGTTACCAGGTATTTTAATCGTACGTATCAAATTGCCAAAGGGAGTGAAGAAACAAACTTGATTGATTTCTTTAGACGCACTCATTTCATTTAAAGTGCCACAGATGGCCAAAACAGTACCATTATGATTCCACTCAGCATCTACGTTACGCATTAATGTTTCAAAAATTATTGGAGCTAAAATAATTAAATGTAAAATCCAATGCACAATTGAAAAAATATTTGAATATTACTTTCATCGTTTTCGTTTTTCATAATTTGAATTCTTCCTAATTCGTAACAAATCGCCAATATTGGGCGAGCACAAGATATTCGTCCACTAAACCAACATAGGGCTGCCACATTGAATGATCGATTTGAACTGAGTGATACACACTGAATGCTCAGTTTTAGCTATATATTAAGGTGATAAGTAGTGAATTCAACAATATGTATACCATAGAATCTTATCAAGATGATATAAATTCGAACGTGTTTCCTTGCTCAGTAGAATAATTATTTTTGAGGTATTAAAACTTTTCAACTAAAAGTTTTTTTATATGCATAGCACATTGCACGCAAATAACTTTACCATTTTGTGCAGCAAAGCTCACCCAAGCACAAGTAATGGCACGTTTTAATACGACGGGTAAGATACTAGACCACTTTAAAGATAGAAGCTCCAAACTTCTAATGCATGAACAACGTTCATTTGAAAAAGCTTTACTTCCCAATTCAAGTTGATAGGAACCAACCCGAGAAGTCTAAAAATCTGCTATATCTCTCATTTTAATGAACATCAGTTCTAACAGAAAACAATCCTGAAATTTTGAAGCTTATCCTATCTGATGATGTTCACTGACAGATGAGGTGGAATGGAGTTTCTTCTTCATCTGCAAAGTTATAACTTTGACAAAAATCGTTATTAGGTAGATCAAGTGTTATTGCATGCTTTTTTGATAAACAGTGACCTGTCAGCACAGATACTGTAGTACTAAGCTAGTTCATATTAGGTTGAATCAACTGATTGATGCGTATTTTGACTCCTGTGAGTCTTGTGATCTGACAAAAATATTCATTTTTTCCCTACAAAACCCCAAGTATTTGTTTTTATTTATACTAGTTGGAGAACTTTTTAAGTTTAAAATTTGTTTACGATCAAAAAATTATATGTTAGTAAAAAAATTAGAGTGTGTTTAAAAATCTTGCCAAAATTAGAAGATATAGACGCAGGGTAAGGAATCACTGTCAAATTTTATGTCATATAAGAAACAGTATTATAGATACTACCGCGAAGTTTCCTTGATTATCATATAAATGGCATTCACCATTTCCCAAGCTAAATAGTATTAAACGATTATCTGGGCTCCATTGTACTCCTGTAAGTTTCGTATTTTTTAATTCTTTGCCCCAAATTCGATTTCCATCATAAGATCCTGAAACAAAAACTATTAAGCTGAAATTCTTATGTTAGTGAATTAGTTTTTTACGAACCCACTATAATAGCACCGTCTTCATAAACAATACATATTTTTGCACCATCTGAACTCCAATGCATACCGGTTACAGTTGATTTTTTTCTGTCATTGGTCATTTCTTCATACCAGGATCCTTTGTAGAGCATCCATACCATAATAACACCATCTGTATCCGATGATGTTAGCTTTTGTTGAGAATCATTCCATGTTACTACTCTGACAGCGTCCTTATGACCATCGAGTGTTTGATTCATTGAAAGATTTGAAACAGCAGCCAGAGCGCCTTTATTTTGTCCATTTTGTGCTAAAAAAAATATTCATTTATAATAATATTAATTCATTCATAAAACTATATATTACATTGTTCCAGCTTTAACACCTTTAATAAGCCTTCACTTCCTGCTACTGCTATATAGCCTTGTTCTTTGTTCCAAGCAATGCAATTAAGTTTAACATTATTTGGTATAGCAATCTATTATTGTTCAAATAATTTTATTTTAAATATTGTTTATAACTACATATTAACTAATACAAATACCTTTTTGCTTAAATAAACGAACATTTCAGAATTTTTCACTATACAAGTTTATAACTTTATATGATCCTAATTTGTTTGGGCTTTTCGTAAAATTTTGTTGCCATAGTTTTGTTTACGGATGCCAAACACCACTTGTTGATTTGGTTTTGTATACGAAAAAACACAAATGCAACAAAAGAAACAAAAATAAACAATACCGGGTAATACAAATGAAACAAAAAGGATGAACAGTGCTGCCAAGATTTTTATTTGAATACACAAAGTGTTGACTAAATTTTGTAAATCAAATTTTACTGCTTTAAGCAATGTGCGAGTGCGCGAGTTCAAGTAAATTGAGGTAAAGTAAATTGAAATTTTCTAGACAATTTTTGCACTGCACTTATGTAAATATTTATTTATTTGTTGCACTTATTTATTATTTTTGGTTAAAAGTTGTCAAATTTATTTATTTATTTATTAAACATCTTATAAAATTTCCACAATAGTAACACCTAAATTATATACTTTTTATCTAATTTACCCTACTCGTTAATATATAACAATGTGCGCTGCCATACCGACATAATTTACTATTTCCCTCAATTTACCATCAATTTACTCGAACTCGCACACGAAATTAGTAAATTTACTAATTTTAATAAATTAAGTATAAAATGTACTTAAAGTAAATGGGCCTATTTACACTATCATGAACATGAACTTGAAAATCGGTTACTTATAGATGAGAGAGGGAAGAGAGTGTGATGTGAGTTCATGAATTTCACGCAATGAAATTTGCTGCGTTTCTTCAGCTTGACACGCATACATATGCAATCTTATGTTTATGTTTACCTTTTAATGCTGAATACTCTTAATTTCTGGGCTTGTACTATAACACAAGCATTTTATACGTTTACACAAAACAAAACAAATTTCACGCTCACAAGAGTTCATGATAGTGTAAACCGAACTGACAGTTCATGTTGTCGTTAAGTTTACCTCACGTTCATAATAGTATAAATAGGCCTAATAAGTTTTTAAAATTTTTAGTAGATTAGAGATTATGTATATATTTATTTATATATATAAATTTTCATCACACGTTGGTTTGATACAAATTGTTAATAAAATTTTTCTAATTAACATTTAAATTAATATTATATTGTATATAATAAAGAAGTGGATTTAAATATATTAAATTACTTAAATAATATGTACATTTTGAAAATTTAATAAGTTTTAATTTTTAAGCTTTTATTGTATGAATGTCATTGATTTCGAGTATCTCGGGCTGGCAGCACTACTGGACTTTGACAATACTGGTAGTTGTTTATAATTTCTCTTAAAAATATATTTTTGCATATAAAGTAATAGTGTTTTTTTAATTTATAATATTTTGTAAAATTAATATGCAACATTAACAATATGATATGCCGTCTATGTTTGCAAGAGGCAAATTGCCCAATTGAAATATTCGACACAAATGGTGAACAATTGAACATTGTCAATATTATAGAGAAACACTTTTGGTTTAAGGTAAATATATTTAAGTTTCACATATTCTTAATTTGAATTATAAACTATATATATTTTATTTTGTCCTGCAGCCATTACCAAATGATAATATTTCAACAAAATTGTGCCGTAAATGTTGGTGCATAATAAATGATTTCCATCAATATTATGTACTTGTGGCAAAAGCTCATGAAATTTTTGAGAAAACGGATAAAGGCTGTACCATAATTAAAGGAGAGATGGATGTGGATCCAACAATGGCGACAGTGCATTTTGATGTGGAAGTTGATATTAAGGAAGAAGATACTGCTTGGAATTATGAATTTGATGATAATCCATTATATGAACCAGAAGTCCCAAGCAGTGTGGTAGCTGAAGTGGAACAAACATCAATTAATAATGAAAGTAACAAAACTGTTATTGACCATTTAAATGAGGAAACAAATAAATCTAAAGATTGTGCGTATAATTGGCATGCTTTTATATATACAATAATTGAAATTTATAATTTTTTACAGTATCAGAAACAGAAATCAAAAATACCGTCGTTTCAAAACCACGAAAATGTAAACAAAAAACTGTGTCTATGAAAACAATTCAAAATAAACCCCAAAATGTGTCCAAACAAAAACGAAGCACTATGATCACATCTAAAGATGATGAAATAATTAAAAAGCATATACCAATGGGCTGCAATTTATGCACTTTTGTGGGTGAAAATTTTTCAGATATGACTAAACATTTTCGTGCCGAACATGGAAATCAGAGCCCATATGTTATGTGTTGTGGACGAAAATTAAATAAGAGGTTTTTAGTTGTTCATCACGCCTATAAACATGAGGATCCTGAATTTTTCAAGTAAAATATTTGTTATCTTCTTTAATATTTTTGAACATATATATATTTAAATTTATGTACTTAAATAAGGTGCAAGGAATGCCATAAAGTATTTTCAGATGGGTATGTCTTGCGTTCTCATCAACTTGCTGCTCACGCACCTGAAACAGAATTAACGTATGAATGTGATCAATGTCCAAAAAGATTTTCTCGACGATACTTACTGGAACTACACAAACCTTCGCATATACCAATAAATGAGCGACAGTTTATATGTGAAAAATGTCCACATGTCAATGCGTAAATTAATTTTTTCTTATAAAAAGATAATATAAATATTATTAATTACTATTCAAATTTAATTAGATTTGCTAGTGATCACTTACTGCAGATACATGTCAATATGCGTCACAATAAAGCAACAAATGTCTGTCATGTATGTGCTAAAGAAATACGCGATAATCAGGCATTTGAAAAGCATGTACGCTTACACTTTGAAGATAGTGGTCCACGGGTTAAATGTCCTCGTCCGGATTGTGATCGCTGGCTTAAAGATTTGGACAATCTAAAACAACATTTACGTCGTCATAATATAGAGGGAAAGGTATATACATGCAATGATTGTGGAAAGGTTTGCAAAAATCGCAGTGCACTTACAAGTCATTTTAATTATGCGCATTCGAATGCAGTATTTTCCTGTGAAGAGTGCAATAAAACTTTCAAAAAGGCAATTTCACTTAAAGTATGTTTAATTAATAAACTAATAAATTGTTTTAAACTATATACATTGAATAAATTTGTTACTTCATATATTTTTTAAAATATTTTTTCTTAGGAACACATGGCGCAACACACTGGAGAAAGTCTGTATAAATGTCCATTTTGTACGCGAACATTTAATTCGAATGCAAACATGCATTCACATAAAAAGAAAATGCATCCAGTAGAATGGGATGTTTGGAGGAAAACGAAAAGAGGTCATTCTCAGCATGAGGTCAGCAATCAAATTGTTTTGAAAGCAGTTGCCACTACAACGAAAGGAAACTGAAAATAGTAAATCCTCTACAATTTATTAAGCTTATTAAAATTTAAGTTACAACAAAATTTACTTAAAAAAAACTTAACTTAAACTTGTGCAATATATGATTTGTAAAATGTAAATTAAATGGACTTAAGTTGTAATTGTAAGTTTATATATTTTATGTGCTGTAAGGCACACACATCTATAAATGATTGTAGTCAAAATAGATTTTTGATTTACATTGATTATGGCTTTAGTGAACCATTAAAAGATATATAAAAATTACAACAGAAATAAAAAAAAAATATTCTTAAACACACACAATTTAAGAATTTTTTTATATCTTTAAATTGTTTACATAAACTTCAAAATGTATAAATAAACAATTGATAACTGAAATTTGAAAAAAAACCACAAACGAAACAGTTTTTGTTTAAAATATTATTTACAGCGATGTTAGTTTAAGATGTATTATTAATAAAATAGAATTTTATGATTACGATTAATTTTAAAAGTTTCAACTAAAAATTGTTGAACTACTATGTGCAATAGATAATGTAAAATATATAAAATATGTGTTGTATTATTTTACAGTTTAATGAATAAAGTAGCAGAAACTGCTTGAAATTGTGAGTTCTAAGAAAATCTAATACTTTATATAGATGATCAAAATCTATACAATCTTGGAGTTCTACATATATGGAACAAATCTATATATATGTGAATAATATATATAGCGATGTTCTTAATATATAAAAATATGTAAAAAAAGTGTATTTTAATAATATACTTTATGGAGAGATTTATATAAAGTATTGATATTTGAATTATTAATTATTTCAAATACTATCGCATTGTACAAAAACTTTTGAAATATATGAAAATAGTATGAAAAAAATAAATAAATAACTTTTAATAAATATATTTAATACTAATCAATATAGTATTATGAAGTTAAAGTAGATAAATAAATGTGAAGTACTTTTTATTAAATCTGAAAACTAGGCGAAATATTGTGTGTATAGGGTTGCCAACTCGAACAAAAACAAATTTGATAATTTTATATGTATCTGGTAGCTTTTGAGTCAGATGTTCAACATAAAAACATAGAATATGTTTGTTTATTTGGATAATTGATACAACTTTTATAAGTTCACCTAAATTTACTTAAAAATGGCTGAGAAAATAAAAGATCCATATGATATGGACAGCAATAGCTTTGATGCAGAAAAATATTTGGAGCGATTATTAAAGGTAATTAATAAAAGAAAAACACTTTACGCATATTATTGTACTGACAAGTTTTTCTAATATGCCAGGAGCATACATTAAAAGAAATAATGGACACGGAAGCTGCTGTCGTAAAGGATACACAAACCCTGCATTCCGATATGCAGACATTAGTATATGAAAATTATAATAAATTTATTTCTGCTACGGATACGATAAGAAAAATGAAAACCGATTTTAAGCAAATGGAAACTGACATGAATTTATTGCGGAGCAAAATGGAAACGATTACCTCTTTCAGTGAGCAAATTACTGGCACCTTGCAAGGAACACGTTCGCAACTTTGCCGTTTGTCAGAGAAGCATTCACTTTTGAAACGTTTGCAGTTTCTTTCATCATTGCCTGCTAAATTGAAAACACTTATTGAAGAGAAAAATTATGCACAAGCAGTGCAAGATTATGTCCATGCACAGAAAGTTTTTGCTCAGTACGGTCGACAACCTTCGTTCGATGGCATTCAACAGGATTGTGAGAAGATAATAACTGAACTTAAAGAAATCTTAAGAAAAGATTTTCAGATGGCGGGAAATACTGCACAATCATTAACGGAAATCGGGGAACTGTTGCTACAGTTGGATGAGAAAGTTACTGACCTGGCCAGTGAATTGTTAAGTTGTGCTTCAAAGCGTCTACATGAACAGATTGTTATGCTACAAGTGAGCTTAATATTCTTGTAAATTGTAGTTTATATATAAAATGTGTTTTTTTTTTATTTTAAGGACCAAACTGAACGAGATATGATAGAATTTGTTGATATGGGTATAGAAGGCTTTCTAAATGATCTAGCACTAGTTGTAACTTCCTATTTTGACATGTTTGTGGCAAAACACTATGAAAACGAAAGGTTGGCTATTAAAATTGTAGATTGTAGAAATTTTATGGTTTTATAACTTTTTACAGAGATGACTTTCAGGAATTGGCCTTACGTGATCTTAATGTTTTTTTAAATAGCAATATCGATAAATATTTAGCATTGGTACAAGATCGTGTCGAATCTGATATAGGTTATGGTGACACACAAATTATGTTGCGAGCTTTGGATCGACTTCATAGACGATTATTGGCAATGCGAAATATGTGTCCAGGAATAGAAATTCAACGCAATACTGTGGACATTATTATTTCAGCAGCACATCAATTATGTGACGTTCATAGCAAAAACTTAAAAGATCATTTTTCTGATAGTTTGAGCTCAGTTCGTTTGTCTTTAGTCTCAGCTAAAAGTGATAATGCTGGTGGTCCAAATTTAAATGATCTCATCACAAATTTATATGTGTCAATGATAGAGAAAGTAAAAGGCGTGTTACAAGATCTTTTAGTATTTCTGCAGAATGATTGGTCCTTTAACATAAAAGCGGAGCACAAAGGTACTTTATGTGTTGAAGGCATACGAGAAAATCTTTTAATCGGTAGTAAATAAAAATATTATTTTAATAACTTAATTATACAAATCAAATTTATTTACTTTAGGATTTCTGCGTCACATATCCAAGATAATGTGCACTTTCACAGATTGTAGTAGTTCCAGTCCACCTAATTTACTTTTAGTTTTATCTAAAACTTGTCTCGAAATAGAGCAAAATGGCGTCCATATACTAGTGTGTATATAATTAATTTACAACTATTCTTATAAAAACAAAACTAAAAACGAATAACTCTTTTAGATATCGTTAGTAGATGACTTATATGAAATAGATTCCGAAAACAGTACCACTCTCACACACGAAACTGAGGTTTGTGCTCTCATGCGGGAGACATCGCAAACATTGTTAGATGCCTATGTTCGCCTGCAGGGTACAAATATATCACAGGTAAAGGAACAGATATATACAGTAATCCTCCCTATAACGCGATTCTCCTATAACGCGTTTTCATATTACGCGATTTCAATCCCCTGTATAACACGGGCATTCCCCCATATACCCCTATAACGCGGAACCAATCAACCGTGTTATAGGGGTGATTACTGTAATTATAAGTGCTTCAGAGTGTTCAAGCTAAATTTAATTCGTTTTGTTTTAAACATCATAAGGTGTTCGAATATTTTCAGCTGCAACCTCATCGGTCAGAAGTTCGAACATTAAGAATAAAATCTGAAGCTCTTATCATTTTTAAAAATATATATGCATACTTACCTTGTTTTATAATTAAAGATGTTACGTAAAAGTGTTGAAACTCGGGATTGGTTAAATTGTTTGGAACCTCGGTCTGTGCGTGCAGTTATGAAGCGTGTTGTTGAAGAATTATCTTCAATAGAAAATGTTGTTGCCAGTCTATACGAAGCTGGTGTGCGTACTGCGGCGAGTAGTGACTCCAGCCGTAAAACCCATTTTAGTAATTTAACAGCATCGAAACAACAATTTCGTTCCAATTGGTCCAATTACACTCCATCTCAGTTGGATAGTTATGTATCGAATATACATCGACTATTTTCGGAGCGCATAGATATATTTACATCAGTTGAATTCTCTAAAGTTTCTATCATCACTGGAGTTGTGAAAATTGGGTTGAAGGTAATAAAATAAATTCTTTGCTGATTTTTTATTTTAAAAAAAATTTCAATAAATGTTCTATATTTCTGTAGACATTTTTGGAATGTGTGCGCCTGCGTACTTTTAGTAAATATGGACTGCAACAAATACAAGTCGATACACATTATCTACAGATGAATTTATGGCGTTTCGTTACAGATGAAAAGTATGTTAAGATTTCGATTTTATACGATTTTATTCTTTTCTCTTGTCTTTTTACTTTAATTTTTTAATACATTTATATATTTTTGCTTACAGTTTAGTTAATTTTCTGTTGGATGAAATTCTTGGTTCAGCGGTACACAGGTGCCTAGATTCTGTATTAATGGAACCAAATGCCGTTGAGATAATATGTGAACGTGGTTAGTACTTAACGTTATTGTGATTTTATATAGTTAACACATTCCATATTAAATTAATAATTATAATAATGAAATAAACATTTATTTATTTATAATGCTAGCATAAAAGGGACTACTGTTAATAAAAAAAATATAACTAAAACTTATGTACATTGGTTTATATCTAAGTATTTAATGTTAAAATAATGCTATTTTCTTCGTTTTCCATGCCATCCTCACTGAAATCCTCTGTTGTTATAATAATATTATGAATTTCTCCATCATCAGGTGTTTGTATTGTTATAATTTGTGAATGTGAGTCTGAGTTAGTTGTCCTAGGTACTTGGGTATCTTCTGTTGGTGTAGATAATTTAGATGCTTCCATCCGGTTTTTTCTTGTTTCTTCAAACTCTTTAGGATGTACTTTCTTACGATGAGAATGCATATTTGCATTTGAATTAAATGTTTTTGTGCAATGCGGACAACTGTAAAGTGTGTCACCGGTATGAAGAGCCATATGTTCCTGAAATTATAAAAGATATTATTAATAAAAAAAAATTGAATTCAAATTATATATATTTTAGTAGCGATTTTTTAGTTAGAAATTTGTTAAATGCAGAAACCAAAATGTAATTTAATTTTATCTAATAAAATATCTGAAGACGTTTCAAAATAATCATGGTATTTAGCATATCTGTTCTGGTAATCTGCTAGTTATATAAAGTTTATAAATGTTGAATATAATGGTCTAATGGTTAACGAAAATAAAAAGATGATTGAAGAAAACTATAATTGAAATTTTGTGTATTTCTCAATAAATTTGAAAATAAAAAAGAAATGAGAATTATTTATATAAAAGTTAAGATACTTATTGTTATTGGTAGATAAATAAATTAACAATAAATTGAATAGCTCTCAATCTTATAAATATCAATTAAAGAATAAAAAATACTTATAATTGTAGAATATTATATTTTTGAAACACATTAATATCAAAATAAATTTAGTATATTGAGAGCTTATATATTAATATAATATAAATAGTATTAAAATCATTACACAATTTCAGTGACCAAGTATTGGCTCAGTCACACATATATATTATTTCTTATTATTATTGTGGAATTTGAGCTGTATGAACACAAAACTATTATCTTAACAATAATATACATTATAACTTTTATATATAATTTATTTGCAATTTAAGAAATATTTTTTTCTTCAGTTCTACATTTAAAATATAAAAGCTAATATATACCTTCAAATTAAGTGGCTTCTTGAAGGCTTTCTGGCACAAACCACATTTATATTTGCGTTCTGATGAATGCACATAGCGTTGATGGCTTAGAAGTGCGCTACGATTAGGTGCAACTTTATTGCATATATCACATATATGTAAAGTACCGTCTTCGTTATGACGACGTTTATGTTTTTGCAAACTGTATTTATCCTTATGCCATGATCCACATTTGTCACACTGCACTTTTGGTATAACCGCACCAGTGTGTTGTAATTGATGTTTAGCGAAAGCACTTCGTCCACGTATTACCTTTGCACATATATCACACATTGTTCCATAGCCAGAATGTGTTAATTTGATATGTGTCGCTAGACGAGATGCTGTGGGGTAACTATTCAAAATAATTATTTTTTTATTTGCAATAAAAATAAACTAATCGAAATTTGATTTATTATGGTATTACCATTTTTTGCATATCTCACAAACATGCGTGTACTCCTCTTGTGAGCTGTGTATACTTCTATGCAAAGTGAGTAAATACAACTTAGCGAATTTTTTTGGGCATGAATCGCATTTAAATGTTTTTTCTTCGTCTGGTGTATGTTTTAACAGTACGTGATTTCTCATACATTGCTTAGTTTTAAATACTTTGTCGCATTCATTACATCTGCAAACATAAAAAAAATAATTATAACAAAAGTAAATAAATAGTAAATTGATTCAAAAACTGTACTTGTATTGTTCGGGATTAACATGTTTCTCTATGTGCTCCACTAGTACACTTCGTTTAAAAAATTTTTTCCCACAGCAGAGAACGTAACCCTTTACCCTATGTACTTTTCGCATGTGCTGTCGCAAAGTTCCGAATGTTAAGTTCTTAATAGAACAAACATCACATGTAAGATTCATGTGTTCAGCTATCTTCAGATCTACATCATCCGTTTTTAAATCATTTTTAATATCAATAGAACTCTCGCTCACTTTTACTGGAGATTCATTATTAATGTTATTTAAATCAGTTTTACGTGGTCGTCCGCGTCTTTTTTTCTTGGTATTTTCTACAATTTCTGGTATTTCTATATAAGAGGTTTCACTTACTGGATCACATTGCTTTTCAATTGTTGTTTGTTCATCGTCATTTCGTTCAATGGCTTTAGTTGTAGAACGCGTCAGTCGCCGTTCTATATGGTCATCAATTATAATAGTTTTTTGTAAAGTATCTTAAATAAATAAATTATAAATCTGTTCATTAAACTAATACCACACAACTTACCAACACTTTTTGGTTCCTCTGACACATAAGGATCGGTTGCCTGTATTTGGATTTCATCTGCTTCAAACGATTGTACAATATTTAAATCCTCTGAGCAATGTATAAGATGTGAATCCGTTGAATATTCAATTTCTTGCAATGATTTTTCATGACTTTTTTCTTTTTGCTCGTGATTAACTATTTCTAAAGTATCAGAGTCAATTTCCACATCACATGATATCAATTCGCTGTTATCCAAATATTCACTATGTTCTGCCATAAGATTTAGCGTGCTGGACGTTACGCTGTTACTGTTTCCAACTTCCTGAACATTATCTTTTACGTTTATGCTTTTCACAAAATATCGTTCAGTTAGTAATGTATGTTTTTTTTTTACCATTAAATAAAATTCGTGAAAATTGTATACATTTTCCCAACAATTTGTGCAAATAGACGTAGATATGGGATCATCATCCATTGGCTGTAAAAATAAGCAATTATTTTATAATGAAATTGGTAAAATTGATTTTTATTTTACTTGAAACCAAAAATGTTTAGCTAATATATTTGCCATATCTTTTTTTAATCCATCCTCGCTAAATATCTCAACATAATTAATATTTCGTTGAAGGCACAAACGACAAATCATGTTTTCTACTCTAAATAACACCAAACATACTAGCTGTACAGTACAAGAAAAAAAGTTGTAAACAAAAACATAAAAAACAGATGTATGTGAAAGAGAACACAAATTCAGGGTTGTTCAAGAAACTATTCAGTGGTAATTCATTAATTTAAGGCCGTGTGCAAATTTGGGTAAATTGATAGTAAATTGAGTAAACAGTAAATATGTCGGTATTGCAGCGAATGTTGATATTTACTAAAATTTCTAGTAGGGTAAATTAGATAAAAATTAAGATGTAAGATGTTTAATAAGATGTTTAATAAATAAATAAATATATTTGAAAACTTTTAACTAAAAATAATAAAAAAGTGCAATCAATAAATAAATAAATATTTACGTAAGTGCAGTGCAAAAAAATTTCAATTTACTTTACCTCAATTTACTCGCACACAGCCTTAACTTTATCATTATATATTGAATGATCTAATTTTACTTTTCCAAATAACTAAAATAAATTCAGTAGTTGTGTATAGTATAAGAGAAGAAGTGGAATTTTATTTTTAATGTTCTAGTTTTTTATATTTGATTAACAAATACAAAGTTTATGATTTTCGAGATAATTGTTTTTTGAATTCAATAAATAAAAAAACAACACAGAACGTGACAGAGAATACCGAAAATGTTATTTAATGATAAAATACTTGTAACTCAAATATTTTATTTAAGTATTGTAACTCATACGTGTCTCAATAGTTAATCTAATTGAAATTTAAAATTTACTTAACTATTATTGCTCTCAGTTATTTTTGCTCTCTTTGTTAAATTTATTTACATATAAAAATAATAATATTTTCAAACTGCTCCTCCTCCCTCTTGATTACAGGTTGCTTCAGTCTATTACAGAGATCGACAATTCGGTTAAACAGTTCTTTTATAATAAAAGCTCTATCAGTATTAATGCTGACTGATTAATATATTCAATAATAAATGAAGTTGATTAAAAGATATTTAAATATATGCTCCCACTTGCAGTGTTATATATTTTAAATTTACAAGTAAGTGAAGAAAGCTTAGACCTTTGCTATGAAAAAATCTACTTAAGTCATAAAACTGATATTGAAAATGTCTGCATTATTGAACTTCATTTCTTGTAATTTTTATGTTTCAATGAAATACAATTAAAAAAAAGCTAATAGCAAGATAATAATAGCACATCTGTAATAACAAACAACTGATTTATTAAAAACACAGTAAACACTGCATGTAAATTGCACTATTAAATTAAATTTTTATCATGAAAGAAGCCTCATTACTTTACTCATGCACGCAGCTAATGTTCAACTTGCTAAAATGCATATAGAAAAAGGTTAATAAAATAGTGTCAGATAAAAGTTCTAAACAAATGGAAGAATAATTTCATAAATTTATGAATAGAACATGTTTAAATATTTTCAATATTAATAAATTCTTAAAAGGTCATTAAATTGCGTTGAGGGACATTAACGTTACGCAATATAAGTATCATTTTTGTATTATTATAATTTTCACCAAATGTAAATATAATTTTCGTATCTTATCTTAAGATAAGTACTTATGTAGATATGATATGCGTTTCCCTTCTCTTAAACCTAGTACTAACATCCATTTCGTACGAAAAATTGATATTTTCCATGTGAGAAAAATTGTCCACAAAATTTGAACACTGCATATTGTTTTATTTGGTGTTTTATGTCATTTTTTCGCGCAAAATGGATGTTAGTGATAGGATTTAATATTGTTATGATAGTGTTACCACAAACGAAGCCGGGACTTATATACCACCGAAAACTTGTCATGATACCAGCATTGTCCTTTTAAAACTCACTAACTAATTTCAAATTATTTTCATGTGTTATAATATTATTATTAAATAATAGGGTATGAATACACCCAACCTAAACGATCTATTGTGCGTATAAAAGTCCAACTAAAACAATTCTAGACTATTTATAAATCTTGTAATTGTTGTGGGGTTAATTTTACTTATTTGATTTGGGACCAAGATCCGGCTTCTAAAAATCTAAAAGCCCTACCAAAACAATTCTAGACTATTTATAAATCTTTTAATTGCTGTGGGCTTAATTTTACTTATTTGATTTGGGATCAAGATCCTGTTTCCAAGGTAGTCAAGTCTACGTCTTGCCGCCGCTGAGCAGTTCCATAGAATATGTTCTAATGTTTCCTTCTCATGACAGAGTCGATAGAGTCATTACTTGACGGGTGATATGTTATAATAACATAGATAAGAAAATAATACTCTGAATACGTAAGGATTTTAAAAGTTTTAATTTATTAAAGGTAATTATTTCAAATTGTTTTTGTATTTTTTACGTAATTAAAATTAAATTTTACATATTTTAAATCACAGCAGTCTTTACATTTTAAACAATTTTTTGTTTTAATTCATCGATAGATAACACTTCAGTTTTATTTATTTTTTGCATTATGTGACAATTAGCAAATCTTCAAAGGGAACAAATTTTTAAATTAATTTGTTTGTTTACTTATAATTTAAAGTAAATTATTAAAGTAAATGTGTTTAGTATATATTTTCGTTATTTTACAAACAAAATTAAAAGTTTAAATCGTACATTTAGTTCATAAAAATATAAATCATATACATAATAATAACATTGAATAATTTTAAAAATGTAATAAATTTATGCAATTAAAAAACTAAAAATATAATAAATTTATGCAAACATAAAACTAAAAATATAAATTGCAATTTTTATAAAATTGCACATATTTTTTTTTTTAACTTAGGAATACTGCATGTGTCGCATTAAATATATTAACGAATTTTACACAAAACTTATTACATTTAGAATATGAGTTGGCGTTTGATGCGCCCACTTAGAAAATTTTTTATTCCATATTTTGAAGTTAACATGATTATTTTAAAACTAAATTAATAACTATTGGAATGCTTTTAGTTACAATTAGTATTTTTTATAAAGTTATGTATTATTTAAAATTTTGCACATTTATTTAACATAAGAGAGAGAGAAAGAGAGAAAACTATATATATACCGAGCATTTATTTATATATGTACATATATACGTTTGGTTTTTTATAAAAGAGTAGTTATTTTTAAATTTAAGTTTCTATATACACATAATATAACATTCGCAAATATTATTTTAAATATTTAAACTAAGTTCTATTTTACATATATCGAGTTATTTTTTTTTTTTTAAATTAAATTGAAGCTATTAAAAATTTTAAATGGTTATATCCTCTAACAGCTATTAAAATAATTGTTTTGATAATTGTGCACTTTTCATTAAATTCCAACATAATTCTGTAACTAAAATCTATTAGTCTGTGTTTTTTTGTTTTTTTGGAGAACCACTTCCGTACTTCAAGCTATGAATATGTATATGTAGTATGTAATACCTTGAGACTTAACAAAGTAAAAAATTTGAATAAAAAAGAATATCAGTAAAAATGATAGAATTGAGTAGATTAATATTTCCGAGTTAGGAGCATAAAAAAATATTAAAAAAAAATTAGGTTTCTTAATATATTTAATTATTATAAATTAAAAGTATTTAATTAAAATAATTATTTCTAGTTTTAATATTTATTAAGCTAACAAGATGTTTTAAAAACAATTGCAGTTTAGAATAGGTAGTGAATACCAGGTCTTTTTAAGCTATTAGCATTGCAATAGTCTAATAGAGTTAATATTGTAATTCAAGAATAAAAAATTACAATTTTTTAAATTTTCTAATTGCGAATTTACACGGTTTATATGGATCATTCTAACAGTTACAAATTTTATACGTCTCCTTAATTAATTTTAGAAGTTACAGACACAATATATGCATAATGCTATTTCGACTCTTTAATTGGTGTTTTAGTTAATAAAATACGCAACTTTTTTTCTAATATCTAATTTTGATATTTTTTTTTACAATTAAACAATTCATAATACTAAAGTCATTAAAAAGATTTGGCGATTAAAATGAACAGCTAAATTTAAAAATCTAAAATATGCTAATAAATTTTATGTATGGCTAATATATGTAAAACATTAATTCGAAATCTACGACATTTACGTTACACATTTTGTATTTTATAATTCTCTTTAATAATTAAAAAAAGAAAAAAAATTATGATTATATAAAAATTTCTTATAAAGTTCCAATGTAAATGTTATATCAATTAATATATATTAGAAAATAATTTTGTGAAAGGAATTAATTGAATTATTGAATAGAATTTTAATAAAAATTAAATAAATAAAGTTAACTCTACGCTACTTTACGAGTAAAAGTTTAATTGAAATTTTATCGAATTGAATATTATCGAACATTCGTCAATTACACATAAATATTTACATATAAACAATAGCCATTAATAAATTTTATTTAAAATGCTTACACTTTTAATAATAATATTAAATTGTACATATATTACACTTGAGGCTAATACGAACTAACTACAGAAGTCTGTTTAATTTCGATTAAATTAGCGAAAAGATTAACTACTTGCCTACGTACACATATACGTAATTGTGTGCATTTAAAACGAGAAATGTAAATTTAAAAGCTTTTTAAATTGAAAACTTTGTTATAATTTGCAATAATAAATTTTAAATTTGTGATTATTGATTATTTAAGTTTCGTTTAAAAAGTACATTGCAAGGCTCTAAAGTATCTCTCTATAAAAGTTTGTCTTTTTATCTGTGTTCAATGCATAACCTATTTTTGTTTAGTTTATTGATATTCTTTAATTACAACAATCCATCGTTGTATAAATAAACCATCCTCTTATTATATAGCTATAACTCCATTACTCCATTTGTTAACCTGCTACCTGTTGCATTGTTAGCGTACTTATTAGTTGTTGACATAATTTTCCATACTCAAATTGATCACCGGAAATACGTCTTAATTTAATACCCTTGCCTGCACCTTGATTATCGCGACTCCGTCCTTCACATACTTGCAATTCGATTTGTAAGCCACCGGAAAATTCAAGATTCAAATTTGTTGTTGTCGGTCCAGTATCCATGGAAGAGCTGGATACTGAGGAATCACTCATTATCGAATTTGTTACACTATTATGTCTTCCTTCCACATACGTACTAGCATTAATGCAATCCTCATTTGAAATGCTACCTTTATGGAGTATAAAACCCTTTGGTGGCATTGTGGAATCAATTGTTTGTTTAACAATTTCGAGAATTCGTGTTGAATCCAAATTAGAACATTCATGTGGTAACGGAACTTCATAGCACATTTCTTCAGACATGCGTCTGGAGTCACACATCGAATCTGGTGTTAAATGCCCCTCTGTTTGATCACCAATTTCCGAATGAGAATCTGATTTAAAACCTGAACTTGCTGACGGTTCTTGGCAAGGTGACAAATTATTGGAATCATTGCTCAAAGAATCATCAGAAAAACCCAGCGATTTATCACTTCCACGTCGATTTCCATCTGTATTGGCTGATGATGTGTTTGCACTTGTACTATTATTTCTTTCGGCTTCTTGACGTAGGGCGGATATGTTCTCATTCTCAAGGCTTGCCTTTCGTCCAATACCTCGGGTTATGGATGGCATATCAGTTGAAGGTTCTGTTATAATAAGACCCTGTGCAATATTAAAAATAAATACAATTAAAAAATAAAATTTTAAACATTTAATAAGTTATACAAAATACAACGTATGCAATTAAAGTTAATAGTCCTATAAAACAAACCCGACTTTAATTTTATAAGTTATTAAATCAGAGTTTTTAGTATGGATCTTTTTAGTAGATGAAATATAGATCATACCATATAGATTATTAAATATATTGATGTCAATACATGAACGCAATATAAATATTTTTCATATCGCAATATGGTTCCATCAAAGGGTACAAAGAAACGTAGTAATAAAAAATTTTTTAGTTTGACTACTTAATCTATTTAAAATTAAGTGATTTTATTTTATTAATTCAATGCATTTTAAATTTACCTGCAGAGATACTAATGGTGTATGTGGTTCAATTGACTCGCAGTCACTATCATGACTATTCTCCGAAGACACCAAAGTAATTTCACTACCTTGTACATCGGTTAAGCATATTTGAGGATGAGCAGGTTGACAAGCAGATACAGATTCATCGGACATGACACCCCCTGTACATCCAGCATACGGTGTGCCAGTAGATATACTGTGACACATTTGTCCATTAGCAATTTCTTCCTGTATAATACATAGATTAGGAGAGGCTGGGGGTGTAGTTACCACACGTACTGGCTGAGCAGGAGATAAATTTAAAGGTTTCAAATCATAGTAAGATGCTGGAGGTAAAAACCAATTTTGCGCATTGGGTGCTTGGTTATATAAATTAGTATTATTTTCCGTAAGTATATCCGTACTACAAACATCCATAGATAGATCTAAGGGTTGTGCAGCAGATGAATAAGCATATTCGCAAGCAGCTGATGTACCACGTGTAATAGAACCTCCTCCACCAGTTGTAAGACCGGATATACCTTTCGTAATTTGATGTAATGGTGAAGAGCTGCCACCGCTACCGCCACATGGCATATATGTATTATTATTGGTCATATACGTATTTGGTGAAGAGCTACCACTGAAACTATTGTAAACTGGCGATTGGCAACCGCTGCTATTGTTTGAAACATTAAAGTGACTTAACGTTGGTGAACCACTTGTAGTTAGATTTATATTACTGAATTGACACACTAAACCAGTACCAACACCAGCACCACTATGTTTTTGTTGTTGATACAATGTTTGTCCAAGCATTTGCTTTGAATATCCACCCATCGTATTACTAATTGTATTAACTGTATTTGTATTATTTGATAAGGTAAGTGGCAAAACCCCACAGCTTTGCATTTGTTGTGGTTGAGTGTGTAAGATATCTAAATTGCCACCGCTTACAGTGTTCTGTGAATGAGCTGCGAGACCCAAATATGAAGCCAAGTCTAATGGTACAGTGCCTGTAGTCATAATTTTTTTGGCCATTTCAATGCTGATGCGTTGCTCTTTCGTTAGACGATCTAATACAGGTAATAGCGTCTTAATTGCTTCTTGTGGAATCTCAATATCTTGATTACGTCTAAACATCATATGCATTGCAGGCTTACCATGTATTGGAGAACCTTAAAAATGATAATTATAAAATTTTGTATAAATAATATATCTACATACGCGTTTAAAACGCAAATAATAATTGAAAATACCAAATATCTTAACGTATCTCTATAGGTACCGATTTATGTGTCCCTAAAAGCCATTAAAAGGGTTAATTTTATCTGTACTTTTTTCAGGTAGATAGTAAAAGGTGTAAGTCACTCAGAATATCTGAAGTACGGTCCACCTGATCTTTGTATAATTAATATTATATACTACCAGGCATTTGAAAGTAGGAACCGAGTCAATACTGTTAGGCTAATTGCAAATTCATGTATCTGTGGTGTTACCTATTATAGCGGTTTTTCAATATATAGATTTCGGATACTTTTTACACAAAACGTATATTTGATTTTACTTACATTACATTATAAATTATTTGAATAAACTTCAAACCTCTAATAATTTTTTTTTAGCCATTTCTTATAGTACTGTAAGATATTTTTAATACCTAAGTGTGGTTTCTGTGTTTAAAATTAGCAATTTGTGCAGAAAAGCTTTGCATTTCTTTGGTTTTCATAATTTTATAAAAATTTTCATTTTAATTTTGATATATACACAAATTTTTAGTCAATCTTACCAGGCAAACTTATAGAATTTTCTAAAAGCGGCGGACTAGGTGCAACCAAAAAATTTCGCTGTGCAATACCTTTTTGTAGATACTGACACTCTTGTAACGGTCCTTGAAACTGTGCCTTCGAACCTTCTGAAGCACGACGCACAGGACTATAACGACCTATTCGAAAAATAAGAATTGTAAGTATTAAACAATAGGTACGTACTTCAAATTAAAATATTTCATATTAATTCTTATATTAATAATATATTTTTATTAATTATTAGATATTATTAAGTTTATTATTATATCATTGTTTTTTAAAAATATTAAAATTTATTAAAGAAGTATTTTGAGTGCAATAATAATATGTAGTTAAAGTACAGTGCTACTTCATAAACGTGAACACTTGTTTTTAACGCTTACTAGTCTTAAATTAATTCACGTTTTCGAGTGACTACTGTATTAATAAACTTATTTTTAGCAGTATGAAGAATGAAAAGGAAAGCTTTGTTGATTTAATAAATAATAATATTACAATAGCTAATATACGTTTTACATTAACATAAAATCGCTTAACAAATGTTAGAATAATAAGTTTAAGTTGAATAAAGAATAATAAAAAATATTATAATAATATAAAAATAAATTTTAAAGTAATAATCGAATTATTGAACACAAATGCAAAATCATAAATATTCAAAAAAAAAAAAACTTACCAACTTCTTGTACAGTGGGTAGCTTACAAGCTCTACCGTAAATACGTCTGTTATTAGCTGCGCACGATGACGCCAATGGTACAGATGACGTTGTCAGCGATTGGGCTTGCAAGATATTGGAACTTCCTGAATGGGAATGGGCACCAAATGTGCCACTAGGCGGGGACTGACTAAGAATAACATTGGTACTTTGTTGCATTTTTAATGCAGGCGGCATATAGTTTCGGTTCATACGCGATTCAACTTCACGTATGAGTTCAGGACTTATAACTTTGAAAAGTTATAGGATTTATGGAATAATTGAAGGACACAATATAAGGAAGTCAGAGTGTTTACAAATATATGCATGGACATCATAGAATTGGCGTTTAGATTTTAACATATTTTGCATCAAATTACATCCAAGCAAACCAAAAATAATTTATTTTTAATATAAAACGAAAAAGAAAACATAAATGAAAAAATTATTTTTAATTAATTAAAATAAAAATTAATAAAAATTGCGGTAAATTATATAAAAATGATATCAATTTTAAAATACTAGCTGCTTAGTGAATTCATGTGATGTTTTAATAAAACTTTTACAACAGCGAAACGTGCTAATACATGCGAAAATATATGTGAAAGATAGATGTTTTACCTGGAGGACGTTCTGTGACAGTCAGTAGACCGGTACGCCTTGTACGTATTCCACCTCCTGCATTATTACCAGCAACTCCAGTTACTACACTTTGCTGCGTGATATTGGTGCCCATATGTGCACCTGGTATAACATTTTGTTCATATACACAGCAGTTGTCACCCGGGTGATGTGTTACTGAAAGATCATCCGTACAGCCAACAGTGTGTCGTTTAGCACAACCACGTATTTGCATGTAACTAAATGATATATAGAATTATATTAGTTTTTATTTTAGATAATTAAATGATATTTAAGTTTTTACCGTTGAATTTCATCACTGCTTTCTTCTCCAGTTGCTGTACTGTCCGTAGCTGGATGAGGATGTGTCTGTTGCATGGGATCACATATTGTTGAATGTGCACCAGTACTCATATCAGTGGCAATTACATTTGGATTTATATAATATGCACCTGTCTCCATCTGTTGTGCGGGTCCTGGTGTTTGTGGCATGTTATTTGTGGAAGGGTAATATATATGCAAATTGGCACCACCATCAGATGCACGACGTCCAAAAGCACCAGCTTTAAAGATAAACAAAACAGTAAATAAATATTACACATCTGCTTTAACACAAAAAAGTTATTTTTATTTATTGGGGATTAGGGGATAGAGCCTTTAAAAATTTAATAAAAGAAATATTTTCTATTATATCCCCCACCTTTGCACAATCCTGACTACTTCATTGCTTCAGAAAATATTTATTTTGAATATTAAATAATATATTCAAAAAAATTATAAACTATTATAAAGAACTTGTGCAGAATAGGAATAAAAATTTAACCACAAAAGTAATATTCTTTTTTAATCCGTTGTTATAGTCCTATACATATTTTAAAAACTTGTGAAATTGAAAATATTCACAAATAAAGTTTTTTAAAAACTTACTTGCTCCCATCACCGTTGGCGGTTTAAGCAAATGTTGATCCTTAATTGTTAAATTGTGTAGTGGCTGATTTTGCAGCATTGGCAAGTTAATGGGCACATACGGTCCTGTGGTACCATTATTATCAGTTGAGCATTTAAAGGTGATTGGCGGAACATTGGGATTAACTAAAGCTTGTTCATGTGCCACATCTCCAGGACCAACTGTATGACGTCTTGTGTTAGGACCATTTGTTCCAGGCGCATTAGCACATAGATGGTTTTGATTGTTATCTTGAGCCTTGAAAATGAAATTATAATTATATTAAGAATAATAATATCTATATTTAGATAGTTACCTCATCTGGTTGTGCTAGACATTCCAGTTCTAATTCTCCAAATTTTTCCAAATCAACAGAAACATCGGTCCATTTAAAGCCTAAACCAGTACTGAATGCATTTGTATTACTTAATGGGCTAAGACGATCGACAGATTCCTGTTTTGCGGGCTCAGAACGGTCTACGACTCCTGTTGTTATACTAGTTTTACGTAATCTGTAAAGAAGAAATTCAGTGAATTAAGTGAGTCTTTTTTATTTTAAAATTTTTTTTGAAATATGTAAGTTGTTATATATTTAACAAACCTATTTATTTCTTAAAAAATCTTTCATATACAAATTACAAATCTTACATATAAAATTTATTTATGAAATGCAAAAAAAAAAAAACAAAAATTTATTCACATGATTTGTAAAATAAATAATCATTTCACCTCATGACACTTCGTACTTTTCAAGCTTAATATTTAAATATGAATAGAATATATTTTTTAAACTAATAAGTAGACAATGTATTCAATCTTCTTTGTTATATGGGAATGAAAAGACAGGAATGCTATTATTCTACTCTAAAACCGAACGCGTCATTATTCTTTTATCACAATCTCTTCTATAAACTCATTGAGTTCTATATAAGTACCTTGAGTACGCTAAATTTACGTGATGTTGCAGTCTTTGTTGTTCTCGTCGTTTTTGTTCCAATTTATCGTTCAGCAAACTGTAAATTGCATATATATTGTCGAAACGTTTTTCGTGCACCGATTGAGCAATCATATCTGCTGTAAGCCCTGGTAGTTGTAACATATGTGTCATTACAACAGAATCAAGATTCGGCATAGCTGATGTTGAATTGGGATCACTATTAAAACTACTATTACTACTATTCCGCATTAGTGGATTAACATTGGAATGTGTATTATTTATGTCTGTGTTTATATCATCCAGATCTGTAGTCCATTCGCTAAGCCAGCGATGTTTTATGATTTGTTTTAGTGTGTACCGACGATCGGGTTCAACTACTAACATGTTTCGTATGAGTACTTCACAATCTAGAGTATATAAAATAATACAATAAAAATTATTTATATTCAAATATAAAAAATAAAACACTTTTAATACGAACCCTGTGACATAAAGTAGGGAATACGAAACTTGCCAGTGACCACTCTACTTTTTAATTCTAATAAAGTTTTACCATCGAATGGTAAAGCGCCACAAACCAATGCATACAGTACTACTCCCAAACTCCATATATCTGCTTTCCTTCCATCATATTTAAGCCCTTGAAAAACTTCTGGTGCAGCGTACGGCGGTGACCCGCAAAATGTTGTCAGCGGATTACCTTCAGTATAACGATTACTAAAACCAAAATCAGCGAGCTGAAAATAAATTATTTTAAAGATGTTAAAAAAATATTTCATTATATTAAATATTTACTTCTTTAAATATTTTAAACACGCTATTTTTATTATTAATATACTATCAAGATCTAAGGTTTAGAATTAGTACTTCATAAAATATAGTAAACTGTAAAGCAAAGTCTTTTAATTAAAAATACATTTTTTTCGAAAAGCAAATCCAAAAAATATTAGATTAAACGCTTCTATTATCCTATTAGTTTCGTTAATTGGAATATATAAAGTTGGATGGACCTACCCTATTTTTGACTAATTTTTCACAGATCCTGTTTGATATTATTATATACGATTCGGTTATAGAATTAAGCGAAATAATGCTATAAGCTAGTTTAATGGAATGTATAAGTTGGATTATGCCTAAATATTAAGTTATAATAATAGTCACACAATCGGATCAAAGTGTGCAACGCAGTCAAAAATACATTCAATATTATACAGTCCTTGTAAGACTTGAAATGGTTTTCATCTGACTATAAAGCCACACTATTTTGGGCAAGATTCGTCTATATTCATTAATTTATTCCATTTTGGCTGACGGCGAGGTTAGGTTAGGCAGTCAGTCAAATTTATCAACTAACTTAGACCCTAAGGGTTCATTACTTAACGAAGGATCTAAACTGTATGCAAGAATGGTTAAGACGAAATTGTGTAGAGAGTTTTTTCATCATCTGTCTATAGATAGGTAGATGTCTAAAGATGTGTTCCACTACTTTAACTTTAAAACAAATATTTCAGTTTGTCGTTTAAGTTAAATTCTTTTGACTGACCACCATTTTAATATTTGTAAATCGATAGTGGTAGAAATTTTAGTCTAATTTTGTTAGCCCGTTTTTGGTATCTATATGTGCATATAGGCGTTTTAATAAATTTTAAGTTAGGATTGGATCTTTAAAAATCTTGTCAAGTCATTTCTTTTGTTTCAACGTATATTTTTTTGCTAAAAATATTAATATCTTCCTACAACAAAAGAAGAAGAGTCATCTATATGTCAGTACTATAACTTTTTAGGGGTCTATATATATGTATATATTATTTTATCAGTTTAAGAAGAAGCATCTATTGTAGGTGTGTAGATTTAGATACACGCTTTATGAATATTAATATCTTATTACGACAAAAAAAGAGTCATCTATGTCAGTACTACAACTTTTTAGGACTATATATTTATACATTTTTATCAGCTTAAGAAGAAAAATCGATTGTAGGTCCTCGTATCTGTCTTCGGTTTATCAACAGATACACAAAATTATGGGTTGCAATTGTTATCAAATCTGGTTTTAATAAAAACTTCTATTGAGTTTATTAATTTCCCCAAGTTTTATAATAAAAATATGTATAATATTTACCTTAATATTCATGTCCTTATCAAGAAGTACATTCTCTGCTTTGAGATCACGATGCACGACACCCATCGAATGACAATATTCCACGGCAGATATCAGTTGTGAAAATACGCGTGCTGCTTCAGGCTCTTTCATTCGACCATTATCTACTAGATGATCAAAAATTTCTCCATTTGGTGCATACTCGGTGACTAAGTATATCATTGTTTTTGATTCCAATACTTCATAGAGCCGCGTAATATGTGGATGTCGGAGTGATTTGAGTATGGATATTTCACGATATGTTTTAGCCAGGTACTCATCATTCAAACATGTTTTATCGATGATTTTTATCGCAACCTGCATTAAACAAATTTCAACTATTAATAAAATGAAATAAACTAATGTAACTGAAATGAAAAAAAAAAAAGATTAAAAATATGTCATATATAATATATAATCTTTAGAAGACATGAAACACTTTGTCAATTTTTAACGGGTGAATGAACGAGAAACAAAATTCCTTAAAAAAAAAATTTGCGTGGATGCCAAAAGTATTAAAATGTTTTTTTTCTTTTTTGTTAAATTAACTTAAATGTTTTTCTTTAAACACATTTGTTTTGGATATAATACAATTAATATAATGAGTATGCAATATTTTTTAAAGAATATTCTAATAATAACTAACGTAATTATCTGATAATTATAGGTGATTTACAATGTCAAAATATTTATTAGTGATTCTATTAAGATTGTAAGACGATTATAAAGGCCATTTGGAATATGTTCCCAACAGAAAAATAATAAAATCCTTCTAGATGGAATAAATGTCAAAATTGTCAGAACCTTAAGTACTTAACCCGATATGTGCGAACATAGCCTCGCGCAGGCTACCATGTGTCAGTCATACAAAATGGACAAGAATTGCAGAGTTGACGAAGAGTGACGTGGGTGAACTATTAAGTACATATTTAAAAAAAGTTATGGTTCAGCCTTGTTGTATATGCATGCAAACCAATTTGACTAAATGGTTCCAAGTAGACAGTATTTTAGTTTACTTTCAAGAGAGAGAGAGAGAGTTGCTCCAATTAAAATAAAATTAAAATAATGCTAGAAGTCAACTACTATTGCATGCAACAGTTCCCTTGTAAAGGAATTACCTTCATGATTTGATACACCAATGATATATCTATGTATTAACGATTAATAAAAATTTAATACTTTTTTACGAGGTACAACTTGTACAGCTATATTCCAAAACGGATTTAAAATTATTTGAATATTTCACTATTATTGAATATAGGTACAAAAAGTTTTAGTATTTGTTTATGTTTATGTTTTGTTTTTATTGTTGTTAATAGGTAGGATCATGTGGATTTTGTTTGATCAAATTTTTGGTTTTTTAGTGCTGTTAGCTGACTCTTTGTATGTTTTTTATTTGCTGCGTAATACATTCATAAATGTTTTATTTACAAAATGTGTTATAGGATACATAGAAAAGGAAAGAAAAGGAACTTATTATAAAACAAATATATGTCATAACCGTTTTTCTATGTAAGATCTTACATATTTGTGTATTTTTTTTATTTTTAAGTAATAGGCTATTAAAGTACCCCGAAATAAAAGATCTATTGTGCGCCTAAAGGCCTAACTAGGACAATTTTAGACTATTTATAGTCTAAATAGTCTACAAGATTTATTTAAATCTTGTAATTGCTGTGGGCTTTATTTTACTTATTTGACTTGGGACTAATATCCCGCCTTCCAAGGTAATCGAGTCTACGTCTTGCCACCGCTGGCCAGTTGCATAGAACATGTTCTGATGTTTCCTTCTCCTCATGATAGAGTCGACAAGAGTGACTTTCTACCACACCTATAATCTTCATTTGGTAATTAAGTCTACAGTGTCCTGTAAGAAATTTGTGATTTCTTACGTATGTATTATTTTACTTATTATTTAATGTACAGTATTTTATATTGAATTCTAAAAATAGGATAAAGCTTTTATAAAAACAAATAATAATTTATAAATATGAATAATATTAAAAGAGCACTACCAAATTTATATTATGATTTTTTTTATGGTGAAGAAGTAGAATGGTAGAATGCTTTATGCACCGTTAAACCGACCGTCGTCGAAATGTTGTGCCCGACTCCTTATCAATAATATGTAGTATACAAACTAAAACCCCCCTTCTTCGGAGAGACTTGTGATTTTCGATCTGTGCCCAGATTCTCCACTTTTTCACCGCATTTTCTTGGTATTTGCACTATTTATTAGCCTAGTTTCTGTTTCTCTTTTCTAAGTCTAATATCTTTGCTTTGAGGACTTGAATCAGATATGACTCTACCGTTCGTCAGTTCCCTGGGTTCGCTCTCATCTTTTCCACTGTATTTTCGTGAGTTATTTTGTTGATAATAAATTAAATATAGAATTAATAATTAATAGTTTAATTAGAGTCTAATAATTAAATTAAAATATGAGGGAAGTACATGCATGTTACGTAGTTGTATTTTTATTTACTATGAAATTTTTTGCTAATGCAAAAATCAATTTATATAAACATTGCAACTAATATGCAAAAATTCATGCCAATTTAATGAATGGCGTTCTTGGTAATTTACCTTTTAGGTAGAATGTCAATGTCAAGCAGGCGAATTCCATTTCATGCATTGTATTTATGATATTGCTTTCACAACTTAAATTTGTATCTATACATACTAGTTTGTATGTGCATACTCGTATGAAATGTAAGGTAACCTTTTTGATATTAAGAAAGACAAACATAAAAATTGTGAATCAGAACTTACAACATTAATAACAGCTCAGTCAGTTAGTCAGTCAAATTGTCATTGAAATTTTACCTTATATTTTATGTAAGATTATATCGTAAAAACAATGCAGTACGAAGGGAAAAGCTTATATTAAATGCGATCCATAGTGGTGCACCGACAGTACTGTTTTTAACTTCTTAAAAATATCTACAAACAGCTATATTCGTTTATGTTAAAATTGGCTTAAGGTATGCGACAATATTAGCGTAAGGACCTTAATAGCAAAACCTAAAGGACGAACAACCTAAAGCAGTTAATATTAAATGCATTTATTTGCATTTTACTAGAGTCGTACGTTTTATATCAGCGTCGTACTTAAAAGGACACTTTAAAAAGAATTTATAATCAATACTTTTTTATTAAGGATATTTTATTTGATTATTAATATTATTATTTCTATTAGGAGATGTCGTAGCCCTGTTGCTACTCTGAGTTTAAAGTAGGTTTCTAAGCCCTGTTGCGTCCATAAAAAGCAGTATACTTTACAGTGTTATTGCATCTTCCGTATGAATATACATTTCCAGGAGCCTATTCCGTATGTGCATTAGCGCAGGGCATTCTATAAGCACATATGTCGCCGACTCCTCATTCTCTTCACAGAATTTACAGTTTGCATCCATAAGTATACCTAGTCTGGTAAGGTGATGTTTTAGTTACAGTGTTAGGATTCCTGTAATGGTGGTACCAATAAGTGATTTGGATTGTTTTAATTCTAGTATATTATCCCAGTAATCCTTTTTATTCTGGTTCTCCTTTATTTTCATGCGAGAAAGGAGCGTACTATGTCCTAGTCCACAAAAAGATTCTGGACCCATCAACGGTGTGGCTGCTCCTTTCCTGGCTAGTTTGTTCGCGTATTCGTTTCCGCATACGCCAGTATGTGTCGGAATTTTATTTGATAATAAATTAAATTTGTTTTTTGTTTTGAAAAATTATTTAAATCATATTCTGTCATTTTTTGACTAGGAGCATTTTTCTTTTATTGTAGAATTCAGGGGTTTTGATCTGATCAATTTAGTAGTTAAGAAATTTCCTAATATTATTGGATTGATCAGTTTATATTTGAAATTAAATGTCCGTGATACAAATGACCGACTATGGCGCTTCTGTTTAACTATTGTCAATAATATTTACGAGTATGCAAAAAACCAAAATGTTTTCTTGTAAGGTTAATTTATACAAATTTACTAAACTAGGACGGAAAAATATAAAATGTTTTGCAGTTTAAAATGTCATTTTCTTGCTAGATTAATTTAAGTTCATGTATATTTATGCATGTACATATATATACATATATATTCGTACTTTTATTGTACGTCTCAACCAATGAATTATTTTCTTATAAAAGTCACTCACTGCCTGTAAATGTTTGTAGTGTCATTCACCATTTGTGATGATTTTCCAACATGGATATGAAACCCTTCTTTTACGTGAAGGAAAAAACATGGTACCTTTAGATGGGAGGTCACTCAATATTGTAAAATACCCAAATATATCTTGTATTATATATATTTATTACATTTAGTTACATAAATAATTTCAAATAAAAATTTTTATTAAAAAATCCATTATATTTAAATTTTTTATTTATTTTTTTTTTTATTAATAATGCTATTACTTAAAAATCATTCAATAATGAAAACAAAAATTAAAAAAAGAAAAAGAGTTATTAAAAAAAGTATATTATACTACGTTGTTCCATATTAAATTATAAGATACACGTAACATCTAATTTTGGGCGCAAACATTTATTCCATTCGAAATCTATTCATTATTTCCCTATTTATATCTAAATCCGTACGCTTATATGCATAACTTATATAATAACTATTTTTAAGTGACATGGAAGTTCCTACTAGGAACCATAATAACAAGAAGAATGGAAAACTATGGTTGGCTGAATATCATTTGGTGAAAAGCTAAGATTCATATTAAAAATGAAGATAATGATAATAGAATTACCAACTATATCTCAAGGTATATTCGTTAGAGTCTTATCTAACTCATTTACTTACTTTTCTTTTTTGTCTACAAAATTTTAACAATCATGAACACAAATAACGCTAATTTCAAATAGAACTGGGAATCTATGGCCTACTAAATAAAGTATACATAATTTTATAATTCCTGTTTACTATTTCATATTATACTATAATTACAAATAAGGGCAGTTCCAATTATTTCCAGAAATTCTAAATCCTAAGTTATATTTTTTTTAGCAAAATTTACTTCTATAAAACATATGCTGACTTAACATTACTTTTTGATAGAACAATATAATGTTGAATGGGCTGAGTCAGGAACATCACATACATCTATGCTGTATTTTTCTTATTATTTTTGTTCTTATTTATGTGAAACTTTCATAATACATCATAATATAAAAATAATACATAATACTAATAATACATAATTATATATATAAAAATATATATCAGAAACAATCATTATTGACAGCAAAAATCGATAATAAAGGTTTATATTAAAACCTTTATTGTTATCAGATTATTTAAAATATGAATGTA